TTTAACTTCAAGGGGTTACCAGTCTGCTGTATAGTCCACTGAGTATGTCCCTCATTGTCCGCTGTTTCCAGTGGCTTTACGTGAGTATGGTGAATCCACACAGTTTTTCCTGCTACCTTGACGGCAGTGGGGTGCTGAGCACCATAGTGAAAGGTCCTTCTCAGCGGGGTTTGAGGGAGTTGAGTTGGTGGCATCGCACCAAAACTGGAGTCCCCGGCTTGATCAGTGCCTTGAGGGGTGTCTCTGAAGGCAGATCCGGGTGATTTTGTCTAAACAGCTGGTGGATCGAGGCTGGAGTGTCTTCAGGGGCTTAATGAGATCTTGGTTAGTTATTTTAACTAATTTGTCCTCTGACAATCTTGGAACCAATGGCGAGGGCCTCCCAAACATGGCTTCAAAGGGGGAAATTCCAGAAACATATGGGTACATCTAGCTCTTAACAGTGCAAAGGGAAGGAGGCTCACCCAATTATTGCCAGTTTTCAAGGACAATTTAGCTAAAGTATCCTTAATAGTCTGGTTTATGCACTCCCACTTGCCCTGAACTTTGTGGCCGATAGGCACAGTGGAGTTTTCCAATTAATCTTTAATGCCTGGGCTAACTTTTGGGTGACTTGGGCTATGAAAGCCGGGCCATTGTCGGACCCCATTGATAGTGGGAGGCCAAATCGAGATATGATCTCATGAAATAGCTTTTTAACTACCACTAAGGCTGACTCGGACTTAGTAGGGAAAGCCTCTACCCAGCCAGTGAAGGTGTCTACTAATACCAAGAGATAACGGTGCCCCTGTAAACCAGGCTTTACCATGTCCGTGAAGTCTACTTCCCAATGTTCTCCTGGAACAATTCCTAGATGTCGGGTGGTCTCCAGCATAGAGCTCTTGGCTCAGTTGACTAACAAGCACTGTGGGCATCTGGAGCTCAAAGAGGTGGTCAGTTTGCAGAGTTTTGGAATCTGAACAATTCAGCAAGTTTAGTTCCCCCTAAATGGGTAGTTTGGTGAGCCCGGTGTAACAGCTCTCGCCTTAGTGCCTCCGGTAACGGTACTCATTTATCAGGTAACTGGTACCAGCCCCCTGGGGTGGGGGACTTCACTCCAAGTTGAGATGCTAACTGTAGGTCTTTCTTTGTGTAGACTGGTTCTGACAAGTGGGAGGAAGCAACATCAGAGCAGTTACCTCCTCAGTTGGCTCCTCTGATGTAGTGGCTATTTTTCAAGTGGTCTGAACTGCTAAATTGTTTCCTAGGGTGAATAACAGCAACCCGCTGAGGCAGCCAGACTGCTGCCAGTAAGTCTAGGATCTGTGAAGCATTTTTTTTTATCTTAGTCCCAGCAGAGGTTAAGAGACCTCGCTCTTAAAAAAAAAAGAGAGAGAGAGAGACCTCACTCCTGATAGATGGCTCCATATACATGTACAGTAGCAAAAGCATATCTACTGTCAGTATAGATGTTTACCCTCTTCCCCGTGGCTAGTTTTAACGCCTCAGTCAAAACAATGAGCTCCACCTTTTGGGCAGAGGTGCCAGGCTCTAACTGCTTAACCCAGAGTACCTCCTTTTTGGTGGTCGCTGCCCGGCCACTCATCTGCCATTCTGGATGAAGCTGCTTCCATTGGTGAAATAGTTGTCAGCATTTCCCAAAGGCTGGTTGGTAAGATCAGCCTGTAGGTTCTGCTGCAGTTCAAGGATGTCAGCACACTCATGGAGAGGTGTCCTTTGTTCCTCTGGGTCGTCGTCAGGCATAAGAGTGGCTGGGTTTAAAGCTGAAGAAGTCTTGAAAACTACCGACTCTGGGTCTAGGAGCAGTGCCTGATAGTGTGAAATTCTAGCGTTCGAAAGCCATTTTTCAGGAGGGGTTTTGATAAAAGTCTCTAAACTGTGGGAGATCACCACAAAAATCTTTTGTCCATAAGTAAGTTTTTTAGTGTCTTTAAGTAACATTGCCACAGTAGCTAAGATTCTCAGGCAGGGGGGCCATCTTCCTGTCACCGGATCAAGTCTTTTGGAGAGGTAGGCTATAGGCCTCTTCCAAGGGCCAATGTCCTGGGTTAAGACGGTATGGCCATGTTACAAGTAATTTGCTGTAACACAAATATAACGAAGCTATTTTTCTTAGAGTACAACAAGAGGGAGCTGCTAAGGATCGTATTAGTCAGTTTTCCCATTCCTGGGACAAAATACACTACATCCACAATTTAAAGAAGGAAAGGTTTAATTTGGCTCACGTTCCCAGTGATTCAGTCCGTGGTAAACTGGCTCCCAGGCAGAAAGAGTATGGCATGATGCAGAGGAGGAGGAGGAGAGCTGCTCAACCCGTGGCAGCCAGGAAATAGAGCATAGAGGAGCCAGGGACAAGAATATGCCCTTCCAGATCACACTCACTCCGGTAACACACTCCTAGTCCCCCAGCCCCTTCCGACCAGCCCTCTTCTGCATAGCACATTCAGCTGTAAACTCATTGTATGCACCAGCTTTCCTGATACTGGGAGGAGGTGCTTGACAGTCACAGCTTCAAAGAGGAAAGGTTTGTTTGGCTCATGGTTTCCGAGGTTCCAGTCCCTGCTCAGCTGGCTCCAAAGTAGGAACATCATGGTAGAAGGTGCAGCAAAGCTGCTCACATCACTGCAGGATGCAGAGCACAGAGGAAGAGTGCCAGTGCCCAATCACTTCACCAAGAGTCTCTCAGTCTGCTGAAACTGACAATCTCTTCAGCACAGTGTAAACCCTGGATTCAACTGAGTCTATGGGATTTATCAGTTTAGTCCCAAGATTAACCAGGACAGAGATAAACACATGGAATTATCTTCATTGCTGTAGTCATTTTGTATATCATATTGGCTTCATGTCTCAGACCACCTTTGCCTTCCTGGGATAAATTTCACTTGTAATAGTAGATGATCCTCTAATATACTCAGGTTCAGATTGCTAGTATAACGTTAGGGGTTTTGCATCTATATTCCTTTTGTTGGTTTGTTTCTGCAGTATAGGGTATTGAACTCAGGATCTTCCCACTGAATTACATCCTTGGCTCTTTGGGGATCGGGGTGGGGAGGTACACACGTCTAAATTGTCAAGTTGCTCAAGGTTGTCATCTTCCTGCCCATAGTTTTCTGTGTCTTTGTCTATCACCAGGGAATCAAGCTACAGTGCTCAAAAAGAGTTGAAAAGACTTCTATTTTTGAAAGAGTTTGAGAAGGACTAGTTAATTCATTTTAAATGCTTGGGAGACCCAGACATGGTGGTAGATGCCTGTAATCCAGCACCCTGGAAGCTGAGGCAGGAAGATAACAAATTTAAGCCCAGCCTGACAACCAAGCAACTTAGCGAGATCCTGTCTCAACATAAAAAATAAAAAGGGCTGAGGATGTAGCTCTGGCTTCAATTCCCAGTATAAAAAAAGGTTTGGGGGCTTGGAATTTTCCAGAGATATCTGCTGGCCTGGGCTTTTCTTTGTTGGGAAAGTTTTGATTACCAATTTGATCTTTTTTTTTTTTCTTTTTTTGAGACAATCCTACTATGTAAGTCAGTCTGCCCTTGAACTCACTGTGTAGCCCAGCTGCCTCAGCCTCTGGACTACTGGCATTATAGGCATGTACCACCACGTCCATACTTTTTATAGGTATGTGCAGATTTTCTGCTTTTTGTGGTAATTCGGTAGCTTCTACTATGCAGCTAGGAATTTGCTGTCTTATCTAGATTCTCTTAATCATTGTTATACAGTTATTCATAACATCCTCTTATAGTCCTTTCTGTTTACTTTTCATTTCTGATTGTGGTTGTTTTCATTTCTATTTTAGTCAGTTTAGCTAAAGGTTTGTCAATTTCATTAATGTTTTCTTTTTTTCCTTAAGTGATGTAACTGGGTTACTGATTTGAGATGCTTATTTATTTTTTAGGCATTTAAACTATAAATTTCCCATTGAGTCCAGCATTCCATGTATTCTCTACGTTCTGGTTTGTTGTGTTTTTGTTTTTTGTTCATCTCTAAATATTTCTCTTGTGACTTCTTTGACCCACTGATTGTCCAAGAGTGCATTTATTTCCACATACTTCTGTTTTAGTTTTCCTCCTATTGATGTCTAGTCTCATTTCATTATAATTAGAGACAATACTTTATATAACGTCAGTCTCTTTGGTTTAGTGCGTAAACCCTGGGCTCAGACCCCAGTAACACCCATACACTCACGTGCACACACAAACACAATAGTTTTTTAAAAATGCATTTCTAATGGGCAAAGGACATGGTCAGACATTGACCATGAGGCCATACAGATGTCAAGAAACACCAGAAAAAGACATTTGATATAATCCCAGCATTTGGGAGGCTGAGACATGAGGATCACTGAGTTCGAAGCCAACCTGGGCTACAAAGTGAGTTCAAGGCCAGCCTGAACTGCATAGTGAAACCAGGGCTCAAAAAGACAAAAAAGTTTTAGTTCAACATCATCAGGCACTGAGGAAATGCCAATAAAAAACCATTTCAAGATACCATGACACGCCTATTAGAATAGCTGCAATCAAAAATAGTGATGCTGCTGAAGGACGTAGAGAAACTGGTCCCTCGAGCCTTGAGGCGGGGGCTCCGCCAACAGCAGCCAAGGGCACAGAGGGCCAAGGCCGGCACAGGGACCGCACCTCTGCGCCGCCGCCTGGGCAGAAGCAGAGCGGCACCCTCTGCCCTTCCTGCTTGGTCCTGAGAATTTTCCTTCCATACATCCCATGGGGCCAAGACAAGAAGGAAGCAATCTTGATGGGGAGCAATTTCAGGGGCAAAGAAAGCAACCAACACCCGAGACAGCCCACACCTGTTTCCCAGCCACGGACTCTGTTCCCATCCTTTTAGGGGAAGAGGACCCGCTGAAGCGAACATGACTATGTGGCTGTATCCACTACTGCCTAACAAAATGTGACTCACTGGGACAAAGTCCTGCAGGAAGTGATTTCCTCCTGTTCCCCCAACTTGCCTGCCCCACCTACATTACCCAGCACTCCAAGGCTGCCAGAAGCACCTCCTACTCTGGCCTCCACAGTTTTTCCCCACCTCCTGGCTGTCCCACTGAGTCCTGGTCACCAGCACTCCCTCAGACCTGTTTTTTTACCCAATACCTGGCGCGTGTAGAGAGCTTAGCCAGGTGAGTGCTCCAGGACTGGCCCTCAGAGGAGTCAAGGAAGGCCGGGAGGCTGCACAAAGGGTCGGGGGTGCGTAACTGGAGGAAGAAGGCTGTTTAGGGAGCCTGGGCACCACTAGTCCGGAGGTTGGCAGCAGGAGCCTTGCCTGAGCCCCAGGCTCGGTGGTGGCCTCCAGGGCAGGAGGGCGCACTGGCTAACTGGAGGGAAGATGCTTGCTCTGTGGGTGCGTCTGTGGCGAGTGGCAGGCTCACATCAGGAAAGAACTGTCTGTCCCAGCAGCCTCTTGCGACCTCAGGGGGGCGTCCTCAGGAGGCAGAGAAGCCGCGGTGGGAGCGAGGGTGAGGGCACCAGCAGGTCCTGGGCGGTGCTAGCCGGGTAGAGAGGGAAGTTCATTTCCAAGCTCTGACCCGAGGAGGAGCCGGAGGCTGGGGCGGGCCGAGGTAGGGATGCCGTCTAGAGCGGGGCGCAGCCTCGCCTTCCCCTCCTCCTCACCCCTCCTGCTCTCCCTCCCCCTTCTCTTCACTTCTTCTCAGTCCCCTCCTTCCCTTCTCCTTTTTCCACTGCAGGGCACTTGGTCACTGAGCTACATCCCCAGCCCTTTTTATTTTTTAATATGGTCTGATCAGTCCATTCACCTCACTAAGACAGCCTGGGCTTGCTCACATGGGCATGACCAGTGTACACAATTTACCTACCTGCTGGTTCTCTCAACTTTCTGGCTCCCAATGGCATTGAAAACCCCCTAGCTTCCTGACCAGACTGGTATATTTTTTAATTTTGCATAAAACTATTTCTTCCATAGACTTCAGACAATCAACTAGTCACCGTAATTATGGTATGCCTAAAGGAAGCTTAATATTAACCCTAAGGTGTGATTGCATTTTACCAAGAGCTCTGTATCTCCTGGGATACCTTTCAGTAGCAATCCACTACAACCGGTCCTAAAAAATAACAATAATTAGAGAATTAAAACCCAACATCAAGTTGAATGATTAAAATATATAAAAACTCAGATTTGGGGTGGAGGCATCCTCAGTAGCTGAGCCTGTCTTTGAAGGCCTCTGACAGGACTGAAGGTCAAGGGCTTTCCAGGGAGAGGCTAAGCTCAGGGGGGTCCTGGGGGGACACTCACCCCATGCTCCATGGATTGCTGTAGCTTCTGACTTCGTCAGAGACTGTTGGCCCTCAAGGTTGTGTGAGTGGGTAGAGACCCCGTTGCTTTTGAGGGATATAGGATGGTCAAATGAGGAATTGGAGAAGTGGGAGGAGACCAAAGCCATTGAGGTCCCAGAGTACCACTGGGTTCGGAAGCAGAGTCACAAAGAATTGAGCACCATGAATTCCAGCTCCTATCCATTAGAGAAACTGAACTGGTGTTGCCTTTGAGGCCTGTGTAATGTTTTCTGCCTTTGTCCTGTACTGAGTTTTGTAGGTATTTCTGCAAGGTTTCAGATGAGAGCTATTTCTAAAAACCATTGGGGGAATATTAGTGGATAGGGAGTAGGGTTTGGATTGGAGAAGAGTAAAAAATGAATAAAAATTCATAAGATTGTAAATTTCAACAAATTCCATCTGCTCCTTCCAGATATGGATCAATTGGGTAAGATCTTCTCCTTAGGCCAGCAAATCCTGAAGCAGAGTAATGAGATGAAATACTGCCAGCGTCAGAGCCGGCGTCTACGGGAACGTGTGAGCAGTCTCCTTGAGGCTGTGCAGTGGCTCCAACGAGACCGGATGGAGACCCTGCCCCCTCAGATAACTGCTGCCCTAGACAATTTTGAAAATGCCCTGAAGAAAGCTAAGGAAATGATAGAAAAGTTCAACACTGATTGCAAAATCAAGAAGTTTCTAATGGCAAGTAACAACAAGATACTCTTTGAGGAAGTCAACGGGAAGCTGGCAGATGTCTGGGAGGTGTTCATGATGAACCTTCAGATTGCTCAACACTTGAGCATTTCAAGAATCAGTAAAAGGGAATTCTGGGCACAGGAAGATAAGCTTGATGCAGAGCAAGACAGACAACTGCCAAGCCTGAGAAAGGGTGAGTTAGGGGTTTTATTTCTGATGGGTGGGGATGCAATGATAGGGACACATTTTAGTCTTTTAGTCTCACTTTGATTTCCCAAAGGAGCAGAAGGAGTAACTGTGGTACTTTGTTTTGTTCTGAGTTTTTGTTGTTGTTGTTTTCTTGCCTTTGTTGTTTGTTTTATTGTCTTTTTTTTTTTTTAACCAGAAACTAAACTCAGGATTTCATGCTTACCAGGCAGGTGCCACACTGCGGAGCTATATCCCTGGCCCGTTTTTTTGTTTGTTTGTTTTTGTTTTTTTGTCTTTTTAAGACAGGGTTTTCCTATGTCGTACAGTCCGGTGTTGAACTCACTTTGTGGTCTCGGCCGGCCCTGAACTCATAATGATCTTTTTGCCTCAGCTTGAGTGCTGGAATTACAGCTGTGTAGAATGTGGCTCAGAAATCTTAACACTCTTGAAGCCAGACACGGTGCGCACTGGTGAAATGCAGGAAAGCCAATGTGGATGAGAAATGATGCAGATAGCTTTCTTTAGGTCTCCTACCCTTGCTCTGGGACTGGAAATTGAATCCATTAAGCCGCATTCTAAATCCTTTTTACTCTTTTGAGACAGGTTCTTGCTAAATCACCAACTTGCCCAGGCTGGACTCGAACTTATGATCTTCCTGCCTCAGCATTTTAGAGTGCTAGGATTACAGCTGTATACCACCAGGCCTGACACTCATTCTCTCTTTGATGTGCTACTGTGAATTGTAGAAACTCACTGCTTTCAGGTTTAGCTTCTCCAAGACTCTGTTAACACGTAAACTGCCATCTGTTAAGATGTAAATTAAGTGACCTACTACTAGGCAAACACAAATTGAGTAGTGTGTCCAGCACCATTCTAAATGTACAGCACAGAGCAAAATAGAAATCTCTCCTCTCACCAAGCAGGATGCTGCATGCCTATAAACCCAACACTTAGGAGGCCAAGGCAGGAGGATTGCTGAAAATTTGAGGCTATACCTGGACTACCTAGTGATACTGTTTCAGAAAACCAGAAGGCAAGAAACCTCTCCTTTCACAGAATTTTTATCTATAGACAATGAAAACCTTTAAGTAGGGTGATGAGATGCAACATGACAGTGATACAGAAAAGAGTAGTCTGGTGTTAGGATATCTAAATGGGTTTCCTGAATCAAGAGAGGGAGCCAGCCATACACAGATGAGGAGGAAGAGCAGTATAGGGGAAATATCAAGTGCAAAGGCCCTGAGGTGGCAAAACATATGGCAGGTAGAAATAAATATGGCACTTGTAAAGAAGACCCAGAAGGCTTGGCACCTTTGCTGTAGTAGGCAAGAGAGAGTGGAACCAAATTAAGGTGAGAAGAAAGCTGGGTGTGGTGTGGTGCATGCCCCAAATCCCAGTGTTCTAGGAGGCTGAGGCAGGAGAATGGTAAATTGAAGCCCAGCCCGAACAATTTATCTAAGTAGTGAGATCCTGTCTCAAAATAAAAAAATAAATAAAAGAGAAAGGGGTGTAGCTCATTAGAGAGGCCTGGATCGACCCCTCAGGTCCAAAGCAAACTCAAAAAAAGCCAAAGCAGCCAGGTTATACCTTAAACAGAATCAATGTCCTTCTTTTGCTCGGAGATGACCCACATCTTTCACTTTGTTTCTTGGCCAAAGCAATTCACACAGCTCTGCTTTGAGTTTCTGACAAAGACTGAGAGGTAAAAACTGGCGTCGCGGTGATTTCCGTTTTGCCTAGTGTGTGATTTTAATTACCACTTCTATTTTTTGAGTACTTGTCTATTTTTTTCTTCCTGCAGATAAAAACACGGAAGCTATACTGAAGGGCATAGAAGAAATCAAGGACACCTTGAAGGGTAAGTAGCCTTGCTGCAGCCTGCAGCCCTCAGCTCTGGCTACTCCCACCTCTGGCCTACCGCATTTTCTGGAAGCTGCCACAGGTCTGAGGTGCACTCATAGCAGGCCCAGGTCCAAGAAGTGGCACTTAAAAGTGCTTCTTCTGGTAACCCCGGCACTCGGGAGGCTGAAGCAGCGCCGTCGTGATTTCTAAGCCAGCCTGGGCTACAGAGTGAGCTCAAGGCCAGCCTGAACTACACAGCGTGACCCTATTCTCAAAATCACAAAACAATAAGTAAAGGAGCTTCTTGTCCAGCAAGAGATCTCCAGGCACAGATCCAAAGTGCGAGAAACTTCCGTATCAATAGCATCCACGTGAGGTGGCTTCCGGTCACCAGAATAGCGGAGATAACTGATTTAAGAATCGAGGGCTTTTCAGGCTCGTGGCTTTATAAATTTTACTCCGTGATCATTTGGCTCAACTGCTTTGGGGACTGTGATGAAACAGCAAGTCCTGGTAGGCACTTGGGACCAAATATTACTGCTCTGCTGAGGCACAGGAAGCGAAGGGAAGAAAATGGCGGGGAGTCCCACAATCCCTTGGGGCATGTCCTGCAAGACTTCAAAGCCTCCCGCTAAGCCCCGCCTCTTAAAGGGCCCACCACCTCCTAGAGCACTCTGGAGAGCTGGCCTGGGACACATGGACCTTCAGCGCCCATTCCCATCAGCGTCAAAGCTTCTACTCTTACTAGATGGTCCAGAAATTAATTCAAATCCAATTTTAAAGTGCTCTCCATTCAGTGAAGCTGTGGGACTCTTCTCATACTACAGGAAGCTGGGCAAAAAAAAAAAAAAAGGGTGCTAAGATGCAGAGAGTTCAGGGAACACGGGGCTGGGGTGCAGGTGGGAAGAAGAAGCAGAAGGGGAACCAGGACACTTAGTGAGCTTGCTCTGGAGAGGAGAAACTTCGAGATGAAAAGATACAAATTAATGCTGGTCAGGTGTGGTAGTGTCTGCCTGTAATCCTAGCACCGAGGAGGCGGAGGCAGGAAGATCACTAAATTCAAGGCCAGCCTGAATTACTCAGTGAGACCTTGTCTCTAGAAGAACAAGAAACTAGAGCCGGTGTGGTGGCTCATGCCTGTAATCACAGTACTCAGGAGGGGTTAGGGTTAGGGTTAGGGTTCAAGGCCAGCCTGAACTGCATAGAGAGACCCTGTCTCAAAAAAAAAAAAAAAAAAGGGGCTGGGGATTTAGTTCAGCAGCATAAGCACCTGCCTGCCAAGCGTGAGGTCATGAGTTCAATCCTCAGTACCAAACCAAAAAAAAAAAAAAAAAGAGGATGAAGGGGAGGGGGGGAGGGGAGGGGAGGGGAGGGGAGAGGGAGAGGGAGAGGAACAACAACTACTACTACTAAGGCTGGAAAAATAAGCAGGATGGGAGGAGAAGAGCAAGAAGTGTGAACTCTCCAGCTCTTTCTCTGCAGGCCATTTAGAAACAAAGGAACTGCTACCTTGGGTTGACTCCATTTGAAAGTGTCCCCTTCCAGCTCTGGCTCATTGGCTGCCATTCCACTCATTCCCAAGGATGCCATTTCTCCTGACATCTTCCTCAGCTCTCTGACACACTTTTGTGGGAAGGCTTCTGTTCCGTTTTGTTTGGTTTCTGTTTTTGTAGTGCTGGAAATTTAACCAGGGGCCTCAGGCACACTCAGCCAGAGCTCAGCCTTCTGCCGATGTAGCTCATTGATTCTGTATTTCCTTCTATTCCTGGCTGAGATCAGACCTACCAAGAGCCATGAAGGAGACAGCCCAGGAGAAAATCCAGGAAATTAAAGAGGAGGAGCTATCAGGATCCCCGTGGAAACTGAGGAAGCAGAGTGAATTCAGCGAACTTTACGAGGGAGAGTATTACAGGTCTCCGGTGGCCATCAAAGTGTTCATTAAGACTCAGGCCAAAAGCACTGGGTAAGCACTTTGTGTGATTCTCCTTGTAGCAATACCTTACTCTTTGGGACTCCCAAGGAAGGTGTTGTCTCCATTTTTAGATGAGGAAACCAGGCCCCAAAGGGTTAAATGATTTGTCTTCCACTATTAATAAGCAGAGAGGAGGCTGGAGATTTAGCTCAGGGCAAGATTGTGAGTTCGATCTCTGGTACCAAAATAAAATAAAATAAAACTTTAAAAAAGAAGGTAAACAGAGGTTGAACCTAAACAACTGTCTTGGTACCTCGATTCTAGACTATCCCTGTTTTATTTGTGGGTTTATGAACTTTTTAAAATGTGTTCTCTTCCAAACCTATACATGCCTATAATCCCAGCATTTGGGAGGTTGAGACAGGAGGATCCTTGCAAGTTTGAGACCAGCCTGGGCTGCAAAGTGAGCTGAAGGCCAGCCTGAAGCATAGCAAGACCCTGTCTCAAAAAGGCAAAAAAAAGTGTTCTCTTCCAATCCTGTGTCTCAGTTCCCTATCCCTTCCACAGAAAATTGTTCTAGTGCTTTATTTGTGTGTGTTTTCTCCGTGTTTGTTTGTTTGTTTGTTTGTTTGTTTGAGACAGGGTCTTACTTTATAGTTCAGGCTGCCCTGGAACTCACACTATGGCCCAGGGTGGCTACAAACTCATGGCATCCTCCAGAGTGCTGAGACAACAAGTGTGTGCCACTAAACCTGGCCTGAGATTGTTTTCTTAATTTAACTTCCATGAAATACAATTGATCATCAGAGGCTTTGGACCTGCCTTGATTCTCTGACAGATCTCGGGCAAGGGCCTGTTGTCTCTCTTTTAAATTAATTTATGTTTGCCACATGTAGTTACATTCATCTTGCAGAAGTGGTACTCATACATTTCATGTCTGAGTCATTTGCACTTCCTAGTTTACACTCCTACCAACAGTGTAGAAGGGTAACTTTTCCTTCACAACCTCGCCAGCACTTTTTGCTTTCGAGTTCTTGATGGTTGCTATTCTTTCTGGAGCAGAATGGTGTCTGAATGTTGTCATTTGCATTTGTCTAATGGCCAGCAAGTTTGACCATTTTAAAAATGTATTTATTGGCCATTTGTGATTCTTATTTTGAGAATTGACTATTATTTCAACTACCCATTTTTTGATTTGGTCTTTTATTTGAGAGGGTTCTACTTTTGTTGAGTTCTTTTTATATTCTAGATACTAGTCCTCTGAAGAGCAGCTGGCAAAATTTTCCCATTCTATAGGTTGCCTCTTAACTCTGTTGTTTCTTTTCTTTGCTGTGGAAAAGCCTTCTTATTTGAGATGATCCCATTTGTTGATTCTTGTGCCACTGGGGTTCTGTCTAGAAAGTCTTTGCCTACAAGAGTTTTACTTATTTTATCTTCCAGCAGGTTCAGGGGTTCTAATTTTATATCTAAATCTTTGACCCATTTTGATTTGAATTTAGTCCATGATGAGAGATATGATTCTAGAGTCATGCTTCTGCATGTGGATAACCAGTGCTCCCAGCACCATTTATCTTTCTTCCACTGTGTGTTTTTGGCCCCTTTCTCAAAGATCAGATGGCTGTGTCTTTTCTCTTTGAGTACCACACTCAGTGTGCTGGAGAAAGTTGGTTTGAGCTGGTGGTTCCAGAGACTGTTCTCTAGTGTAATTGCCCACATTTCTAGAGCTCATCTTCCTCCTCCTCCTTCTCCTCCTCCTTCTCCTCCTCCTCCTCCTCTTCTTCCTTCTCCTCCTCCTCCTCCTCCTCCTCCTCTCCTTCTTCTTCTTCTTCTTCTTCTTCTTTTTTTTTTTTTTGGTATGGGGATCGAACTCAAGACCAGGTAGGCACTTATACCACTGAGCTAAACAACCAGCCCAAGGCCATCTTCTTGAAAGACTTTCCCTCGAGTAATTTCTCTTAATCACTTGGGAGTCTGATGCACTAGGATCATTATGAGTTCATGGCCAGTCTCTGCTACACAATGAGTTCAGAGACCAAGGCCAACCTGAACTACATAGCAAGACCCTGCCTCAAAAAATGTTTTTTTAAAAAACTCAAAGATTATAATAACAAAATTTTCTCTTAATAAATAATACTACTAAGCATGGTGGCCCATGCTTGTAATCCTAGCGTTCAGGAGACTGACGCAGAAGGGTCACTATTAGTTCAAGGTCAGCATAGGCTCATAGTGAGTTCAAGGCCAGCCTGAACTACATAGTGAGACCTTCTCTCAACAAAACCTCAATTTTTTTTGCAAATCAAGGACAGACACCTCAGTTTATCAGAACATACACTAAACCACACAGCAACAAAAATATGACCTGTGGGTTTGCCTAGTATAAAGCCTTACAGATCATAAAATATAATTTTAGCCAGGCATGGTAGCACATGCCTATGTTCCTAGCACTTGGGAAGCCAAGGCAAGAGGATCAAGTGTTCAAGACCAACCTGCGGTACCTAGCACCACCCTGCCTCAAAAACCAAAATAAATCAGTATTCTATCAGGCCTTTCAAAATAACCAAAAACAGGTTAGCAGGCCCTACTACTCTCCATGGACACTTGGGGACTAACTCCACTGCAAGTTTTACTGAGGAGCCCCATCTGTTGCCACCACAGCCAAGTTTACCCACCAGGGAGCCTGCTGGCACCTCACCCCATCCTGTGTACACACCAGTTACCCCGCTCTCAGGGACTTCTGGTACTGAATGCTAACCCTACTCTTCCCTCCTAGTATAGTGAGAACGCATTTCCGCAGAGAGATCAGCAACATGCGGAAGTTTGACTCCCCCAGCATCCTGCGTATATTTGGGATTTGCATTATAGAAAAAGGTAAGGGGGCCTCTGGGGTTGGTCAGGCTTGGAATGGCAGGGGATCACCTCATGTGTTTTACTTTTTTGGTATGGGAATCTAACTCATGACCTTGAGCTTTTGCTTTGTTTTTTTGTTTGTTTGTTTTGAGACAGTATCTTGTCTAGTTGAGGCTGACCTTGAACTCACTACATAGCTCAGGTTGGCTTCAGACTAGCAGCAATCCTCTTGCTTCAGCCTCTCAAGTACTGGGATTACAGGCATGTGCCATCATGCTCATTATACAGTGTGGTTACTATCAGAGTGAAAAATTTTCTATCTCAATATACAAGTTCCAGTCTTTCAGGAGAACAGGATTTTGAAACAAGAATTGCTGGGTACAAATGTGGCCATGTCTCCTGCTGCTAGTCCCTTGGGACCCCAGGGGGTGTTTGTTCAGATGCCGGCCTGGATAATGGGCACATTTGTTGCTATAAAATAAAATTGCCTGACCCAAACAGGGAACCTACCCTGATCATCTGAAAAATCCATTGTCTGCCCTTTTATCAAGAGCCTCATGGTTGTTTTAGTTATTATTTTTGTTTGTTTGAGACAGGGCTCACTACAGAGCCCAGGCTGGCCTCAAACTCTGGCAATCCTCGGCTTCCTGAGTGCTGGGATCACAGTCACGTGTCACCATGCCCAGCTTTATTTTTTTAATGTGGCTGAGTCTTCTCTCTGTCTTATTTTTCTTATTGCTGAGACACAACACCTGACACCAAAATTAAAGGGGGAAGGGTTTCCGCAGCTCACAGTTTGTAGAGGTTTCAATCCATAGTTGGCTGCAAGGCAGGGTGGCATGGCAGGGTGGCATCCCAGAGGATCCAGTTCATGGCAAGGCGAAGAATACAGCAAGAGCAGGCAAGCAGGGCACCTTGACAGTGTCCTTCTCTCCTTTTACCTTCTCCAGGCTACTCAGGGCAGGTAGCACTCACACCCTGATTCCTAGTGCCCTTGGTGCTAGCACTGCACCATGAATCAGTTCCAGGTCACACATTCTTTCTGAGAAAGCTCCACCGATGACTGCATGAGGCTTTGGGAGACATCAAACCATGGCACCTCCTGATGTCTATGTTTTTCTTTTCTTTTTTTTTCCTTTTGGCAGGGGGAGGGATTGAATTCCTAACCTCACACTTGCCAATCAGGCACTGTGCTGCTGAGCTATATCCTTGGTCCTCTGTCTATGTTTTGCTGCTGTTACCTAGAAAGGGGACAGAACAGTTCCTGTCTTATCCCTTCTGGAACTTTCTCTGCAGCCTGGGCCATCTGACTTTAGAGCATAGAATCCCAGTCTAGAGAAAACTTAGTCTCCTGGATGACTGCAGAGGTATCCGACTCACCTTGGTGCATTGGTTCTTGTGTCTAAGATGATTCCCTGAGACCTGATCCCCGTCTGAGTTTCCCTCCAGGATTCCTGCTGCACCTGTGCATTCCTGTAAGCACTGTGCAAACGAAGCACAAGTTTCCAGGCTTCTTGGGGCTTACAGTTGAGGGAGGAAAACATGACTCAAATAAATACTCAAACGCAAGTAGACTCTTGCCATGCTGAGGGGGTTGTAGTGGTGTCTATCTGTAATTCCAGCATTCCTGAGGCTGAGGCAGGAACAGGGGGCAGCCTGGGCTACATAGTGAGGTCAAGACCAACCTCAAAAATTTTAAAATAAATAAACAAACAAACTACAAAGAAGGGAATTCTGAAGGTGTTGGACCAGCTCAAGGCGGCCGGGGAAGCCTGTGTGAGGTGCAAGTGAAGGACAGGGAATAGCCAGATAGCGCTAGGTCTGCACCCGCGGTGCCCAGAGCTCTAGCGGGGCTGCTCCCTCTGCAGCAGGAAGTTCGCCTCGGTTCTGCCTGGTCACGGAGTACTGCGAGCGCGGGAGCCTGCGGGACGTGCTGGATGAGGAAAAGAACCTGCGGCTGGACTCGCGCGAGCTGCTGGCCCGAGGAGCAGCCCAAGGCTTGTACAGGTACTGTGGGGTGCCAGGCTCCCGGGAGAGGTGACGGTGGCCTGCCCCCAGCTTCCGATGGGGACACCGGGAGAAAAGGCGGCAGCCCCAGGGTCTCCCCTCCACCTTCTGTGTCAGTGTTCAATCCTATTTCAGCGCTGGGACAGGAGGACAGGAGGCTTGACCCAGTGAGCAGAGGCTCCCAATCTTATTGATACATTTTAGATATAAATAATGATATAATCATCATAGAGAATTCGTACTAATACATGATGACTTGATTCCCCATTTACAAAAGCTTTCCTTCCAATCTTTCCTTCTTTCCTCATTTTTGTCACTTTTTCCTTTTTTCCTGTCTCCTGCCCCTCCCCTCTCCTGTGCCCTTTCCCCCTCCTCTTTCCATTTGAACATTTTCTTTCCATTTCCCAATATTTACTTTTTTTCTGTTTTTGGTGCTGGGAATTGGACTCAGGACCTTGTGCTTGCCAGGCAGGTGCTTGTGCTGCTGAGCTGGCCCCTTGGCCTCATTTTAGTCCTTAATTACACTTGCGAGTTCTCACGCTAGAGAAACAATGTGGTATTTACACTTGTGTCCAATTTATTTCGCTAAAGTGTACAGTGTCAAGGAGCATCCATTTACCTAGAAATGTCTTACCCATAAATTTCCTTCTTTATGGCACAGTAGTACTCCACTGCTTAAAAAACCCTTCACTCACCAGTAGATGGTCATTTGGGCTATTCCCAAGATTTAACTACTACAAACTGTGCTGCTATAAACATGGCTGTGTATACTGTGTGTATATCACTGTAGTATGATGCTTTTTAGTTCTTTTGGGAAGATATCAAGAAGGAGCATACCTGGGTCAAATGGAACCTTAGTTCTAGTTTATTGAGGAATCTTCACACTGATTTCCACAGTGGCTGCATCAGTCTACACTCCCACCAATGGAGGAAGAGAGTTCCTTTTTTCCCACAGCCCTGCCAATGTTTGTTATTGGTTGATTTATTGGTAATAGCCATTCTTCTGAAATGAGATGGAATCTTAACATTTTTCTCTCAACCAATGATGTAGAACATTTTTTTCATGTGGTTGTTTGCTGTTTGTACTTCATCTAAGAAGTGTATACATCAGAGGCTGGGGATTTAGCTCAGTGGCATAAGCACCTGCCTTGTGAGCAGGCGGTCGTGAGTTCGATCCCCGATACCGATTAAAAAAAAAAAAGTGTAGGCATCTCAGATGTCCATTTTTAGAGTGGTTCTTTCAATTTGGGGGGGTCTGGTTTTTTTTTGTGTGTTATCTATATAGTAATCCTTTCTTTGTGGTACAGCTGGCAAACATTTTCTCTCTCACGTTGTGGGTTGTCTCTTCACTCTGTTGGTGGTTTCTCTTGCTGTGCAAAAGCATTTTAATGAGATTCCATTATTGATGCTCTGTGATAGTTCCTATGCAATTGGGGTTTTGTTCATAAAGTCTTTGCCTACCCCAGTATCTTTAAGAATGCTACCTAGTCTATCTCCCAACAGATTTAATGATTCTAGTGTTTTTGTTTTTGTTTTTGTCAGTACCAGGGATCGAACTCATGACCTCCTGCTTGTTAGGCAGGTGCTTATGCCACTGAGCTAAATCCCCAGCCGCCTAATGATTCTGTTTTAATGTTTAGATCTTTAATCCATTTCAATTTAACTTTTAGTGAATGGTGAAAGATATGGGTCCAATCTTAATCTTCAGCATGTACAAAGCCATTTTTTTCTAGCACCATTTATTAAAGAGGCTGTCTTCCAGTGAATGTATTTAGCACCTTTGTCAAAGGTAAGGTAGCTAAGTGTTATGGTTTATGTCAGTGGCCCCCAAGCCTCATGCAATTACCAATGCAACCAAATATAACATTTGTGATTGGTTCGTTGTCCAGTGGTTGGATTGGTGGTGTGAGTGTTTCACCGGCCCGGGGGGGGGGGGGGAACAGCAGGAAGAAGGTGTCTCTTGCTTTTGCCAGTTGGTGCTTTGCTGTTTGCAGCTGCCATGAATGGCTGCCCTGCCATGCCACACTTCCTTGGAGTCAACTGAGTATGGACTGAAACCTCCAAAATTGTAAGAAATAAACCTTTCCTTCTTTCATGTTGGGCATTGGGTATTTTATCTCAACAGTGAGAGTGAAAAGTAACTAAGACACAAGTATGTCTGGAATTGTTTCTGCATCTTCTAATCTGTTCCATTGATCCTCAGGGTTTTTTTTGTTTTGTTTTGTTTTTTTGCCAGTGCCATGATGGTTTGCTTGTTTGTTTGTTGTTTATTTATTTATTTGAAACAGGTCCTCACTATGTAGTTCAGGCTGGCCTTGGACTTGCTTTGTAGCCCAGGCAGGCTTTGAACTCACAGGGATCCCTTTGCCTCAGGCTCCGAAATGTGCCATCATACCCAACCTGTTTTATCATAGTAGCTTTATAGTACAATTTCAAATCAGGGATGTGTTGCCCCCTGTCTTGCCTTTATTGCCCAGAATTGCTTTTGTTATTCTAGGTCTCTTCTGGTTCCAAATGAATTTTAGGATTTGTTTTCTCTAATTCTGTGAGATATTCTGTTAGGGGCTGGGGATTTAGCTCAGCGGCATAAGCGCCTGCCTTGCAAGCAGGCAGTTGTGAGTTCGATCCCCGGTACCGATAAAAACGAAAGACAAAAATAAATACATAAATAAATAAATAAATATTTACTAACACCTAAGTAAGGTTAAATAAATAAATGTAAGAGGCTGAGGCATAAAAATCACAAAACCAAAGCAAGTCTGAGCAACTTAGCAAGATCCTAACCTCAAAATAAAAAAATTTTAATGAGCTCCAAGTGAGTGTGGTGGCACATAACTGTGATTGCAGCACTAGGGAACCCAAGGAAGTTCCAGGCCAGCCTGACTCTACAGCAAGTTAAAGCCTAGCCTGAATTACATAGCAAAACTATGTCTCAATAGCCATGCTTGGTGGTACACACTTGTAATCCCAGCACTCTGGAGGCTGAGGCAAGAGGATTGTCATAAATTCAAAATCAACCTGAGCACCATGGTGAGTTCAAGTCCAGCCTGAACTACATATCGAGACCCTGACTCAAAAAAAAGGGGGCGGGATTTAGCTCAGTGCCATAAGCACCTGCCTTGTAAGCACACAGTTCCTGAGTTTGATCCCCCGTACCAAAAAAAACCCCAAAGTTAATTAATAAAATTAAAATTAAAAAGAGCTCATTGGGAGGATGCTTGCCTAGAATGTGCAAGGATTTGAATTCAATCCCCTCAAAACAATAACAAAAAACTTTGTTACTTCTATAAATCAAAAACTAGTACCACTTTCCACAAAGTGACTACAAAGGAAAAAAAAGAATGTAAACAGATTCTGGCCAAATGAGGCTGCCTTCTGGCGGGTCTGTAATTCAGATCTACTTCCTCTTTGTACAAAAGAGACAGTAGGCTACCAAGGATGTATCAAGGATGCTGTAATCAAACAAACATTTTCCTTGATAGAACAGAAGACTGGAAAAAAACAAGAGGATTTTCTCTATGTATAATTATTATTATTATTATTATTTTTTTGGATAGAGTTTTGCTATGTAGTTCAAGGCTGACCTTGAACTCGCTATGTAGCCCAAACTGGGCTCAAATTTGCAGTGATCCTCCTACTTCAGCCTCCTAAATGCTGGGATTACAGGTGTGCATCACACACCTGGTTCTCCATGTGTAAACCAGACTTCATACTACTATAAAAGGCTGAGGAATAGGTACCTTGGGAAATAACATACTAGCTTTTTTTTTTTTTTTTTTTTTTGAGGCAGTCTTGCTATGTTGTTGGCACAATTATAATGTAAGAACACATTTATAAAATAGCAAACTTACAGATATTTCATGATCAATTAGAAGTCTGTGACCAAGTTTCCATTTAGCTGTTTCTGCCTAATTCAATTGACCTTGGCAGTGTCTGAAGCCCAGCTGCAGACCTCTGCTGAGCACTGAGCCAGGGTAATTGTCTATACCTTAAGGCACCCTGGGCTAATTCAAGGGCCCCTCCCCAGAATGTGCCTGTATTATGGTAATGCCTTTATCTGTGCTTACTCTGGTTTGTTTGTTTGTTTGTTTGTTTGTTTTTGGTACTGGGCATTGAACTCTTGACCACAAACTTGCCTGCCACATTTATATACCTACTGAGCTAAGCCCCCCTTATTCCACCCTTACTGTGCTTACTCTAAGGTCCTCTCCCCTTGTTCCCAGAGTGTTTCTATATTGTGATAAACAATTCTTTGGTTTCAACAAATCTGTTCAAGACTAGTCTGCCTGTCAATATTATGACTCAGTGCATGGACCACTCATGGTTTTGTCACTTGCTTTGTACCTCCCACTTCTAAATTCTATGTGAACTAAGGTCTTTTGTTAATTCAACTCTGTTACAGGGATTACCCTACAACAGTCCACTGGTGGGAACGTCCGTCCAGCAGTCTGCTGGTGTAAAGATTAAACGTTGTGTGGGCTGGGGATTTAGCTCAGCAGCATAAGCGCCTGCCTTGCAAGCAGGCAGTCGTGAGTTCGATCCCTGGTACAGATAAAAAGGAAAAAGACAAAAAAAAAAAAAAAGATTAAAAGTTGCCTTCTTATCCCCTCAGTGCAGAGTCTTCCTTTGGTTTGGTTTGGTTTGGCTTGGCAATTTTCCTGTAACAATGGCAGTCCTCCTGACTGTGTTTCCCAATGTGCACCACCTTGCCCAGTTGACATCATACTAGCTATTAATTTGTTACCTTGGTTGTCAGATTTTTTTTTTTTTTTTTTTTTTTGTCTTTTTAAGACAGGGTTTCACTATGCAGTTCAGGCTGGCTTTGAGCTCACTTTGTAGCCCAGGCTGGTCTCCAACTTGCAACAATCCTCCTGCCTCAGCCTGCTGAGTGCTGGGATTACAGGCATGAGCCACCACGCCCGGCGGTTGTCAGATTTTTTGATACAAAGTCTCACTATGTAATCCCGTCTGGCCTTCCCCTTGAGGCAGTCCTCCTGCTTCAGCCTCCTGAGCGCTACCACTCTGGTTTCATTCCCTATCTACAGTGACCCGTGGGAGCCAGATTGCACACAGGCCACTGAAGCTGTCACAGCTGCCTGCACAGTGCATGTCAGCTCTGCTGCATGTCAGGTCGCACCTCTGCCCAAGCTGTGTGGTCCTGGGAGCTGTGATATGGGCAGCCTCCTCATCCCAGTAGTGATGAGCACCTGTCCACAGTGGCCCTTAATGCTCCCTCCTTTGGCTGTGACAGGTTACACCATTCTGGAGTCCCACACCTCCACAGGAACCTTAGCAGCTCCAGCTTCCTGGTCACCCGCAGCTACGAAGTGAAGGTGAGTCCCCCCTACACCCTCCCAGCCCCCCAAGCCCCAGGTCTTTGGGTGGGTCAAGATCTCAGGACTGTCAGTGCTTTTTTTCCCCTCTATCTCTTTTTTTGGTTTTTTGCGATGGTCTCACTATGTAGCCCAGGCTGGCCTCAAACTCATAGAGATCTCCTGCTCCAGCCACCTGAGTGCTGGAATTACAGCATGCACCACGCCAGCAAGATGCCAGTAAGGACTGTCAGTGTTTGGAGAGGGTTACAAATGTCACAGAAAGGCGAGGTCTGTGTCTGGTTGTTCCCTTTCTTAATTTATTATTATTGTTAGTGGTAATAATAGTACTAGGGATTGAACTCAGAGCCTGGACATTGAACAACATCTCTATCCCCAGTTGTCTTTGGGGTTTTTTTGTTTTTTATTTTCTCTGGAGGCAGGGTCTTGCTTTGTAGTTCAGGTTGCCCTTGAACTCACTCTTGCTGAGGCTGGCCTTGAACTCCTCCTGATGATCCTTCAGCCTCAGCCTGCCCAGTGCTAGTTAGAGGCATGTGCCACCAAACCCAGCTCTGCAACTCTTTTCTGAGACAGGTTCATGGTAAGTTGCCCAGGCTGGGCTCAAATTTGAATTCTTCATGCTTCAGCCTCCCAGAATACTGGAATTATGAGCGAGCATCACCAGTTCCCTTTTTCCTTTTAGCGCTAGCCAGGTGTACAGGTACAGGTACAGGCCTGAAATCCCAGCACTCAGTAGGCTGAGGCAGGAAGACCGCTGCAAATTTTTGACCAATCTGAACTATATAGTGAGACCCCGTCTCACAAAAATAAAACACAATGAAAAGTTGCTATAAAGACATAGCATCCTAGCCTGGGCATGGTGGTACATGCTTGCAATCCCAGCACTTGGGAGGCCAAGGTGGGAGCATCTACATGAGTTTGAGGCCAGCCTCAGTTACATAGTGAGTTCAAGTCCAGCCTGAACTGCACAGTGAGACCCTGTCTAAAAAAAAAGCCAGCCTCCCTACCAGCTGCTTGTAGTCTCCTTACCCACCAACCCCCTGTTCCAGTGCAACCTGCCACTCTAGTCATTTTTTACCAGCACCAGTGCTACTAAGGAACACAGGTTTTCAGGGGAACAGAGTTGAAAAAGTTGCCTGAAAATCTGCCTTGACTTGCTTCCTGTGCTTATAAATCATTGGTTTATTAAATCATTGTCCATAATTCCAAAATTCTAAAAGAATGTTTGACTTGCCATCCCTATATGGCTTTCTCTCTCCCAGCCTTATCAGTGTCCAAGACAGCCCACCATGCCACCAGGTAGCTCTTTCTGCCTCTCAGATGTCCTTGTCCCTCGCCAGCAGTGACACAAGCTCTCCCAAAGCAGTGTGTCTGCCCATCTTGCTGGACCTCACCCTGCTCGGCTGTAACTTTCATCTCAGGTTATGGCATGGTGTACATGGTCAGGTGACATCAGTGCTCAGTGAACGTGGGAGCAAATGAGTGATTCAAAGAGGAGTGACCCCCCCCCCGCCCCCGGGTGCCTTACCCTGTTTTCTGGATGACATTTTTTTTTTTTGACAACCAGGAATTGAATTCAGGACCTGTACTTACCAGGCAGGTACTTATGCTGCTTAGCTATATCCCCAGACCTCTTTTTTTTTTTTTTGATGGTGTCACTGTGCAGTTCAGGCTGGCCTGGAACTCACTATGTTGCTGAGGCTGGCCTCAAACTTGTGGTGAGTCTCCTGCCTTAGCCTCTGGAGTGCTGGGATTACAATTGTGTGCCACCATACCTGGTTCCCTTTTCTTTTGTCTTTTTTTTTTCATTTTAAAGAGAATAAAACCAAACAAAATAAAACAGAATAAAGCCAACCAAAACAAAACAGTGAAAGTGACAGAGGACTTCAAAATAGGATAATAGGAAATCAACCATTGCTGCTGACCATAATGCTTCTTGTTATCTTCAAAACTGCTGCCCATACCATCAGACGTAACAAAATCAAACAAAACTGTGGGAGACAACTCTAGTGACTCCCCTTGAATGCAGAACAATTGTTGTAACTTTGATATATCGAGACTGATTTTTTTCTGCTGATATATATAGAGCTGGCTATAGTATTTTTTTCCTCTTTAATTGGCTCTAAGCATTGCAAATAAGGCTAGCCAAGGTACTGATATGTAATCTCTAAAGTCTCCTGTTTGTGCTTGTTCTAAAATATATAAGCACAGCAGGATGTTAGAGCTATCAGCTCCAGGAATATCAATTGGGTATGAGCCTCAAACAGGCTATAGGGCCAGGGATTTAGCTCAGTGGCATAAGAGCCTGCCTGGCAAGCACAAGGTGATGAGTTCAATCCTTGGTACCACAAAAAAAAAAAAAAAAAAAAAAAAAAGGTAAAGAGGCTATGACTCCCCAGGGCAGAAAAGTTTACAAATCAGAAAGCAAAGCAACAGCCTCAAAATGTAGTTACTACCTTAATTGAATTATACAAATTGGTCCTTCTGCATATCCTTATCTCTGCATTTTACAGAGATGCTTTTCTCCCTACCTGGCCAGCTAGCTCAAGTTATATAATTCCCACCATCCTCACTGTCGCTCATCCTCAAGCCACCCCCTTCTTCACAAGATAATAAATTCTGGGAGATGGGGCCAGGGATTTAGCTCAGTGGCTTAAGTGCCTGCCTGGCAAGTGAGGTCATGAGTTCAATCCCCAGCACCACACACAAAAAGATTAAAATAAATTCTGGGAGAGGCCTAGAATCAGGGCCTTTGTCCACACATCCTCACGGGGATTGGATTTAGGACCCCTTGACTACATTAAATTTGGAAAATGTCTTGGTGTCTTTACTCAACACTGTGGTTTGCAGTGGAGGTGGTAGATGAGAATTAACCTGCTGGGATTCCAATAACATCTCATTAAGATTGCAAATATAATCTTTTGGATTGTGAGGAAGACAACAAAAGGGATTATAATGCTTGGATGACTGTACACAATATCTGGGATTACAATACAAAACAAAATAAAACCAAGCAAAATAAAACATTGAGTAAAACAAAACTGTAAAACAGAGCAAAACAAAACAGTGAAAACAATATTGGATTTCAAAAACAAGACAGGAGAAAATCCCCTGTAGTTACTATATTGTATATTTTTATCTTCTAAATGGATGCTCAGACTACCAGCCTTAATCAATCAAACAATAAGTCATTTTTGCACCCCAGTTGCTGTCAGCTCAGTCCGTGTTCCTCTGAGTGAGTTACCTGGTTGCTTGGGGGCAGGATGGGGCACTCAGCTCTTCTTGTCTTGCTGGCTGCACACTGGTTGGCTCACAGGAAGGGTGCATCTTCTATCTTCTCCTCTTCTCCACAGTCACTGCTGGCTCTCCCCATCTACAGTTGCCACTAGCTCACAGGAAGGGTGCATCTTGTTTAGGCTGACTTTAAACTCAATACATAACCTAGGCTATTCTCAAATTCACTGTGATCTTCCTACTCAGTCTCCTGAGTGCTGAGATTACAAGTGTGCACCACCATGCCTAGCTTTTTGTTTTGTTTTCTTGAGACAGGGTCTCACCATGTAGCCCTGGCTGGCCTCTGATTCACAGCCACCTTCTTGTGTCAGCTTTCTGTGTGTGACACTACGCCCAGTTCCTTGACCTTGACCCTATATTTGGGCTTGATGCTGCCAGCTGGTGCACACCAGCAGTGTTAGTGGCATTTGTGCCCAGAGCGGAGTGAGAGCATACGCTCACATTAGTTGTGCTTGGCTTTGTTAAGATTACTGCAGAGCCATGCATGGTTGATGGTCACTCCCAACTTGCCTGCAAAATCTAAAGGAAAAGCCAGGCATGGTGGGACATACCTGTAATCCGAGCCTTTACTGGGATGCAAATCTAAGCTACCTAGTAGTTAGAGGTCACCCTGAACTACAAGTAGCAAGACCTTGACTCAAAAACAAAGACCCAGGAGCCAGAGATTTAGATCAGCTGCACAGCACTTGCCTGGCAAGCGCAAGGTTGTGAGTTCGATCCCCGGTACCAAAAAATAAAAATAAAAAAAGGCCCTGTACCCAACACCATATTATTAGCAACAGCTACCAATTTGACAAATCTATCTTTCTTTCTTTTTAATTTTTCCCAATATATGAGATTACGCTGTGGGCCTCAGGCATGCCAGGATAGTGCCCTACCACTGAGTTATATCCCCATTACTTTTTATTTTTTCTGTTTTGGTTTTTTGGGGGGAGAGTTTTTGTTTTTTGAAACAGGATCTCCCTATGTAGTTCAGATTCACCTTGAACCTACTACGTATCCCAGGCTGACCATGAATGCCAAGCTATGTCAGCCTCCCAAGTGCTGGGATTATAAGTGTACACCATCACACCTGGTTTTTTAAAGAGACTTGCTAAATTTCCCAGGCTGCCCTCAAATTTACAATCCTCCTGTCTCAGCCTCCTGGTTTACAAGTGCCAACATCTGTGGTACGGACTGAAGAAATCTCTCTGTGTGTCTCTTGGTCAGTGCACTATGATAAGTGGGCCAAATGAAGTCAGGCAGCATCATAGCCACCCAGACATTAGAAATCAGTCCATCAGGGAAGAGACCATTCTCTGACAATCATGAGTCACACCCACCCCCTGGTCTCTACCCTCCACTCAAGTCTTGCCATTTCTTTCTGTCTCTAATTCATCTTTCTGTCCAGCTCACAGGATTTGAGTTGAGAGAAACGCAGACCTCCATCAGTCAGGAAATTATGGAGCCCAAAACAGCCTACTTATCACCCCAGAGACTGGAAAATCCGTTTAATAAATACGACATTAAAGCTGAAATATACAGGTATGTTCACATTGTCATGCTTATCTCACCTCAGATGAACAGGACAGGAAGTCCAAGTCCAAGTCCTCCTTGAGAGCCAGCCACTGTGGTGCCCACCTAGAATCCCACCACTTGGGAAGCTGAGGCAGGAGGAGCACCGTGAGTTTGAGGCCAGCCTGAACTACATAGCAAGGCCCTGTCTCAAAGACAACAACAACAACAAAAACTAAACAAAAACACCTCCTCGGAGGACCACCTTAATTTTGTTGAGCAGCGCTGGGGAGTAATCAAAAAAGTCATTGAGTTTTCCAGACATGGCTGGAGGGGCACAGGAAAGGAACTTATGGTATTGAGTTTCTTTTTGTGTGTTTGTGTGTGTTGAGTTTCTTGGTTTCTCTTTAGCTTTGGAATCGTCCTCTGGGAAATCGCCACGGGGAAGATCCCTTTTGAAGGTAAAGACCATACAGGTTGATTCTGCTGGTATTGGGACTGGGCCCACGTCCACCAGATGAGAAATCCCTGCTGGTGCTGACCCAGGCGCTTGACCCGGATGTGGGAAGTGTCCTGGTTGTCTGCAGCATCAGTGGACACCTGCATCTTCTCTGAACTTGAAGTTCTGCTTCCTGCCCCAGCCTTCAGCATCTAGAGGGATGTGTGCGAGGCTGCCAGAGCAATGCTTTTGTCTTGTTTGTAATTCATAGGTACATGTTTTCCGTACACAATGTATACTCAAAACTGGGCTTAGTGGCACACACCTGTCATCCCAGCACTCTGGGAGGCTGAGGCAGGAGGATCTCAAGTTCGAGGCCAGTCTGGACAACTTAGTGACTTATCAAGAACTTGTCTCAAGATAAAAAATTTTAAAAAGACTGGGGAGGTATCTCAGTGTGAAGGCCCTTGGGTTTAAGCCCCAGTACTGCAAAAACAGATGCCATGATTGCATCCATTATGGGGGCTGGTTCATGTACATAACACAATTTTAATTCTTTTTACAACCCAGAGCAATGTTTAAAGTCTCTGATCTTAATATTGCCATGCCGGGCTGTAATTCTTTTCTTTTATTATGCCAGGCTATAATTCTAAGGAGATCTACCAGCTGGTGTTTGGGAAGCGGCAGCAGGAGCCACTGGGTGGAGACTGTTCTCCCCTGCTACAGGAGGTCATTGATGGGTGCCGGGCCTACGAGCCCTCTGTGCGGCCCTCTGTGGATGGTAAGGTTCTTTCAAGTATGAGGGGCACGAGACATGTCTTTTATTTGATTGCTTGATCTGTTTTGGTGGAATTTTTTGTTGTTTTGTTTTTTGCTATCCGGAATCAAACTTAGAACCTTGCACTTGCCAGGCAGGGTTTGGGTTTTCTGAGACAGGGTTTTGCTGTTCCAGCTAGCATTAAAATCATTACGTAGCTCAGGTTGGCTTCAAATTCTCTGCAATCCTCCTGTCTCAGCCTTCCAAGTGCTGGAATGACAGGTGGGTGCCACCATGCCAGCAACATTTTGTTTTTACAAGCTCCAAGAAAGTAGTTCACATTGAGGGGTAATTTCACCCACCAGCAGACATTTGGGAGTGTGTTGCTGGTGTCTGATGGATAAGAGGCTAGAGATCAGCTTGACACATGGTGTTCACTTATAACTCCAGTACTCTGGGAGGCTGAGGCAGAAGGATTGCAAGTTTGAGCCCAGCCTGAGCAGCTTAGTGACTTAGCAAGACTCTGTCTCGAAACAGTTAAAATGTAGTTCAGTGCGAAGCCCCCAGGTTTAATCCCCAGTACAAGAAAAAATAAAATTAGGGCAAGGTTGCTATTCAGCTTTCAAAAATGCATAACAACCCTGCACAACAAAGAATGATCCCACCCAAATGTCTCAAAAAAAAAAAAAAGTTGGAGGGGAACTTCCTGTCTCAAATGCATGAGTGCAGATGGTGTTTTGGGCGTCAGACAGAGCAGGGGATGTGGTTTCTATGAGACTATGCCATGCACAGTGGTATTGTATTTCTAGCCTGGTGTTCAGCTCCCTGTGTCTCACTCTGTGTCTGCTCCCTCACAGAAATCCTACAGAAACTGTCCTCTGTTACTGAGAAGTGTGTGAAAACCTGAAGCAAGGAGTCCTGGACAAGATGGTGAGAAACAGGAACTAGACATCTCTGACTTGAACATTTTGATAAATGATTTCCTGTGTCCACGCCTCTTGGCAATGTGACTTTGCCATCATCCCATTAAATGGAGTGTCAGTTGGGCCCTGCAGTACCCACTTGTAATCACAGCACTTGGAAGCCTGAGGCGGGAGAATTGCCTTGAGTTTGAGGCAAACCTGGGCTGGCTACGTCATGAGTTCAAGGACAGCCTGAACTATATGGCAAGATCCTGTCTCAAAAACAGAAGAAAAAAAAAATCAAAGTCTGTGCCCTCCCACTTGAATTTAGCTGGCATTGTGACTTGACTTAATGTGAAAGAAGTGACGGTATATGTCAGTTCCAAGCCTAGACTTCAAGAGGCCTTACAATGTCTACTCCCTCTCTTGGACCCCTACCCAGACATGAGCCACCTGGACTAGTGAGCTGGAGGACAAGAGCCAAATGGAGGGACACCTGTCCCAGCTGAGATTCCATGAGACCAGTCAGCCTCCCCACTGACCTTGGTGAGACCGAAGAACCTTCCAGCAGAGCCCAGCCCTGCTTGCTCACAGAATCAGGAGTGAAATAAATGAATCATTGGATTCAGCCATGAACCTTTTGGGTAGTTTTCTATACAACAGTGGTCCCTGAGTATATGCAGGTCAGCGATGCTTTCTGCCACTGAACTGAGTACAAACTCCCCATTTGGATACCCATGACCTTGGATCTCCAACTCCACTTGATTTTCCATGCCAGATCCCAGTGCTGTCCCGCTGGGACAGCAACCTCTGACCCCCAGAGGACCCAGCAGGAAAGCTGAGTCAGGGAGCTGAGCCTCTAGGGGACTTGAAGGAAAGGATGAGCTTTAAGGAAATCACCCTTTCTGCTCAGCTGTTTTGTAATCATGCAGAAACAGGATCTTACTGTTTCAGAGCTGTACATTTATTGAAACAAGCTAGCTAATTGGATTTTTCTGTTAATTGTCTCTGTTTTCAAAAGTTGGTATCTCATTAGAAATTATTTTAATGTATGAGACATAGAAAATGCCAGGTGGGTTGGGGATTTAGCTCAGTGGTTTAAGCACCTGCCTGGCAAGCATGAAGTCATGAGTTCAATCCCCAGCATCAAAAAACAAAAAAGAAAGAAAAGAAAATGCCAGGCATGGGGACGTATGCTTGTTATCCCAGCGCTCAGAAGGTTAAAGCAGGAGGATCACTGTGAGTTTAAGGCCAGTCTGGGCTACACAGTGAGTTCAGGGCCAGTGTGAACTACACTACCTGTCTCAAAAAACAAATGTGATCATAGGAGCTGCCAGACTGAAACCCATGTCTCCAGCACAGGGCCCTTTTGTCTGCACTGTTTATAACTTTGCTCATGATGCATGTCCAGCTCAGAATACACCCACTCCCGTCTCTGCATATTGCTTTTCCCCAGAACTCACCCAAACAATCCACAGTTGCCAGGTGTGGTGGTACTCATTATAATCCTAGCACTTGGGAGGCTGAGGCAGGTGGATCGCTGTGGGAAGCCCTGTAATTGGCTGCCACCTTATATCTGCAGGCCATACCACCTTAACAGCTACGGGTGTACCACTTTAACATTTGCAGGCCGTACTACCTTAACTCCCTAGGAGTTAAGTTTGGTAGTTAAGCAGCACCTTGCCTACCTAGCTTGCTTGATCTATTCAGAAATTATGTTACTCAGCCCGCACCAGGAAATTTGAATTGACCTATAACCCTCAGTCCTGCCAGTATTGCTAAGTTACCTGCTGAGGTCTCAGAACCCAAATCTCCCCCCCTCAATACCCTATATATTTGTTACTCCTTCCGTGAATAAAGGAGACTTGATCGGACTTGTCTTGTCTCCATCCTTTGTGTCTCTTGTCCCCTCTTCATCCCCACTCCCCCTCTAGGGTCTCCGTGGACTTACCCGCAGGCCAGGTCAGATCACCATGAATTTGAGGCCAGCCTGCGTTACATAGCAAGTTTGAGACCAGTTTGAACTACATAGGAGACCCCATTTCAAAAAAAAAAAAAAAAAAAAAAACAAAGAAAAATGATTAACATTGTTCCAGCCACCAAGGAGACAGCAAAGGACACTTAGGTTATCCAGGCGGGGCTGAGTTTGTGATCCTCCTGCCCTGTCTTCCAATAGTCTGACTACCTTTACTGAATGTCATGCAATCACCTGAAGCAAGGAGTCCTGGACACAAGGCTCAGAGAGGCACAAGCTAGACATCTCTGATTTGAAAATGTTGAACAGTCTGCTGTGTCCACACCTCTGGGTGATGTGACTTTGCCGCCAGCTGGGCCCGAGGGTGTGGGTTACAGGCGAGCATCGTTACACCTGCACATCCCTGCCTATGAGAGTCCCTGAATCATTGATCACCCAAGCTCATCACAGTGCCCTGAAAGTGGACCCTAAACACCGGCCTGGCTCTCCCTCTGGAGGAGGAAAAGGAAGAGGGCGTGGAAGCTTATCCTGGGGGTCAGATGGGAGTGCTGAGCCATTTTCTCTTCTGTGAAACGGGTGACAATGTCAGGGACACTGGGCATACTGAGAAGGGGCTGACACCTGCTCTGGGGAGCTAGCTCCTTGCTGAGTCCGTCAGTGAGTGCCCCTGAGGCAGTTTCCAGTCTGTCAGGGCAGTGACCAGGGCTTTAAAGACCAAGGATTAGGGAGTTTAAAAGGCTTGGGGTTGGCTTGCGGGGGCGGGGGGCCAATGCTGCTGCCCCCTTTCCTATCTGCACACTCACAGCTCCCTGCTGCTCCCCAGCCTTGAGGGAGAGCCTGGGTGTGCAGGTGAGTGACGAGCTGTCCCCAGGGCGGCCTCTGATGTGTGGTTGAGGGGCAGGACAGAACAGAGACCCACAGAGGGGAGGCTCCTGGTCCCCCCTCCTCAGTACCCCTTCTCTGGTCAGTTTCCGTGATGGCATAGGTGAGGACTCTTGGGGACTCCCACATGGACGCCATAGGACTGTCCCCTTCTGGGTGCAGGAAGAGGGTAACTGGCAGAGCCCCAAAGTCTTGGCTGCTCAGTGGGATCTAGGATTATTCTTTCCTTTTTTTAAAACCTAGAATGTAGAGGGGTTTTTTGAGGGGGCACTTGTTCGTTTGCTTGTTTTTGGTGCCTCACAACCTTATGCGTGCCAGGCGGGCACCTATGCCACTGAGCTAAAACCCCTGGCTGTTTTTTGTTTTGAGACAGAATCTACAGTGTGCTTCAGGCTGGCTTCAAATTCACTGCAATCTTCCTGCCTCCTGAGTACTGGGATGATAGGAGTGTATCCTCACACCAGCAAGATTTTGTTTTTACAAACTCTAAGAAAGTAGCTCACATTGTAGGGCAATTTTGCCCACCAGAGGAATTTGGCAATGTTTCGAAACATTTTTTTTTTTTTTTGTCTTTTTCGTTTTTATCAGTACCAGGGATCGAACTCACAACTGCCTGCTTGCAAGGCAGGTGCTTATGCCACTGAGCTAAATCCCCAGCCCCTTCAAAACACTTTTTTAATTAATTAAGATTATTGGAGCCAGGTATGGAGGTACATGTCCATAATCCCAGTACTTGGGAGGCTGAAGCAGGATTGTTGTGAGTTCAAGACTAGCGTGGGCAACAAAGTGAGCTCAAGGCCAGCCTGAACTGCATAGTGAAACCCTGTCTCAAAAAGACAAAAAAAAAAAAGATTATTACATTTTAGGTACACATAATGATTGAATTCATCATGGGGAATTTGTACCTATACATAATATACCTCAATTCTCCCCCCCCCCATTCCCTTCCTTTCTTTTTAACCTTTCCTCCCCTCCTTATTTTTATTTTTATTTTTTTATTTTTGTCTTTTTCAGACAGGGTTTCACTATGCAGTTTAGGATGGCCTGTAGCTCAGGCTGGGCTCAAATGTACAGTGATCCTCCTGCCTCAGCTTCCTGAGTGCTGAAATTACAGTGTGAGCTATCACGCTGGCTTCCTCTCCTTATTTATAAAAGCTTTACTTCCATTTTTTTCTTTCTTTTCTCATTTTTTTTTTCTTTTTGCTTCCTGCCTTCCCCCATCCTTCCTCCTGGTTTCCCTTTCCATATGTACATTTTCTTCCTCTTTCCCAATAGCTATTATACATGTTGGTTCTTATTCACTCTTTTACATCAGCAAATGAGGTATTTATCATGTGTCCAATTTATTTCACTTTATGGTCTCAAGGTGCATCCATTTACCTAGGAATGTCTCAAGTTTATCCTTCAATTCACTGTTTGTTTGTGACAGGGTCTCGATGCATAAGGCAGGCTGGCCTTGAACTCACATAGCTCAGGCTGGCCTGGAACTCATAGCAGTCTTCCTGCTTCAGCCTCCCAAGTGCTGGGATTACAAGTGTGTGCCACCACTCCGGGCTTCAATTCACTTTTGATAGTCACAACTCAGGTTCTTGGGGCCAGTTAGACCCCCGGATATCTGAGAGGAGGCTGTGGAATGAATAAACGACAAAAGACAAATTTCAAGGTTTAAGAGGGTACCAGGAGGAGTTCGCCTCTAGTGGACTGATTCCCCATCTCTCGTGTCACCGGTATTTACTAGCAGGTAGTCAGGGAAAAGCTCAGGGGGTAAGGTGCTTTTCCTGGAAATGGGAGAAGTCTAACATTTCAAAAAGAACAAGATAAAGTCCTTCCTCTGGGTGTCTGCATTTTTGTCCTGACTTGGGCAGATATTATCTTATCTCAAGAGGCTGTGAATCTGAGCTTTCCCAACACAGCCAGAGAGCAAGCAGCTGTTTACAAACTCTCCTGTCCCTGGAGGCAGAACCACAGCCAGGTAGTCTGGTCCCCAACATAGTAAAGTTCATATCCCCCGGTGTCCAACACTCAGGTGTGTGAGTGGTGCTCTTGGTGCCTGAAGGTCAGGGTTCACCCCTGAGCATGTGGTCCCACTCATCACCCCAGCACTCTGGGAGGCTGAAATATGTTAATAACACCTCTTAATTCTGCTTCCCCTCATTTCTCTCCCTCCATCTTATGGTCCCCTTTTCCATTTGCAAATGACCTCTTTCCTGTTTCCTATTATCTATCTTTTATTTAGCTTTTTTGCTTTATACTTTGGGTAAGCTTGTGTGTCTGATTTATTTCACTTAGCATTATGGTCTCAACATGCATCTCTTTTCCTTCAGTGTATCCTTTATAACAGAGTACTTCTCCATTTGTGCATAAATGCCACCACGGTTTCCTCTTTGCTGAATCTCCTGCAAGAATAAAGATTGTTTTCAGCAGTTAGACTGTTGACATGCAAGGAAATGGCAACTTTACCCCGAAGGGAAACACAGTTACTGAGTGCTTCAGAGGAAGCCTGCAAAAGGACTTCAACCATCTCAATGTAGAACTGAGTCTCCTGGGGGCAGGAGGAGAGACTCTGGGTGACACATGATGGGGAACAGGAAGGAACTGGCTCCTATTGGCATGACCTACAGTCACATACACAACAGGATCAAGGGTGTTACACTGGGCTTCCGTTACAGGATGAGGTCTGTGTATGCTCACTTCCTCAGCAACTTCGTTCTTCAGGAGAATTGGTATTTTGCTGAAATCTGGAATTTCTTGGATGAAAAATACCCAAGATTTGGATGAGGGAAGGTGTTGCTTTTTCAGCATCTCAAACCAAGAAAATGAACCCTTGAAAGAAATGAGACTGTGCTTGTTTCCAATTTAGCAAGCCACCAGTCAAGCACAAGAACACCAGAAAACTTTTGGATTGTATCTATGTTTCTGAAAAGGGAACAGTTTAGCCTGATGAATAAGATACAAGAGTTATCCAGCCACAGAAACAAGCTTCTGGATTATAGACCAATTTGTGATATTTTAATGATGCAATATAAGATCTCTTAATAAAAAATACATTTTTATCCATTCATCTGTTGATGTAGACATATAGGCTGCTTCCAAGATTTAGTTATTATGAATTGTGCTGCTATAAACATGGATGTACATGTATCACTGTAATGATGTCTTTAGTTCTTTTAGGATCAGGTGGATCATGAAAGAATATATTTTCATTTAGTTATTTGAGTACTGGGAATTGAACTCACAACCTTGTGCTTGCCAGGCAGATGCTTATGTTGCTGAGCTACATCCCTGGCCCCAAAAACATATCTTCAGAACCTTTTAGATATAGCCTATTTACTTTTCAGTGAGCAGCTGTTGCATTGTCCAAATTTGTTACCACTTTGTATATTACCTTTTTTTTTTCCTTTTTGTTTGCAGTATTAGGGCTTAACCCAAGGCCTCATACATACTAGGTAATTGCTCTCCACTTAACCATACCACAGTCCACCTATTATTATTATTTTTTTTTGTCTTTTTCCTTTTTATCGGTACCGGGGATCGAACTCACGACTGCCTGCTTGCAAGGCAGACACTTTATGCCGCTGAGCTAAATCCCCAGCCCCCTGCCTATTAATCTTGATACCAAATGTAGGGCTTGGGGATTTAGCTCAGCAGTATAAGCATCTGCGTGGTGAGTATGAGATCATGAGTTCGATCCCCAGTACCAAAAAAAAAAAAAAAAAAAAAAAGTCAGGTGTGGTAGTGTACACCTGTAATCCCAGCAATGGGGAGGCTGAGGCAGGAGGATTATGATGAGTTTGAGGCCAACCTGAACTACATAGTGAGACCCTGTCCCAACAGTCCCCCACAAAAAAAATCACTTGTATTTGGTTATGCACCTACATATTCATTAATATGGGAAGCAATTCAAGTTATATTTTGTTTAAAGACTCTCTCCTCTGTATTTCAGTGGGTAGTTCACACAGTTAATAAAAATTTCTGTGGTTAGAGATAATTTGTTTTTCTTTGCGTTGCATAATTATCTGTACTGAACATGCATTACACAAGAACCACTAAAATTTTCTTCATCCTACTACATATTGTCTGGTTTGAAATTCAGGCTAACCTTGAACTCCCTGGATAGCCCAGGCTAGCCTTGAACTCATGGTGATCCTCTTGTCTCAGCCTCCCTGAGTACTAGGATTACAGATGTGTGCCACCACTCCTGCGCATCCATTTGTTAATCAAATTCCTTTCTCTTCATATTAGCCATTCTATATCCAAGCAGCAGCGCCTTCCCCAGATAGCAGGAAAAAGAGAAATACAAACGTCAGTGCCAGCTTTGGAGAAACAATACTGAAAAGTCAGCAGCAACCCATTCAGGCCCTCCTGTCTCTCAGGAGGTATTCCTATTCCCCACTCCTTTTCTCCAATAAATTTTCCTACTCTTTTTTTTTTTTTTTTTTTTTTTTTTTTTTTGTCTTTTTCGGTACCAGGGATCGAACTCATGACTGCCTGCTTGCAAGGCAGGCGCTTATGCCACTGAGCTAAATCCCCAGCCCCAATTTCCCTACTCTTAAAAAAAAAAAAAAAGTATTTGAGTATCTGCCACTTTCAATTATTTATGCGCTTCTCTGCTACCAATTTCACTGAAAATGCCAGATGATTTTTTTTTAAAAAAATTGGCAATACACAGGTTATGCCTCAGGGTTTTCTTTGTATGTGTGTGAATGTGTTTGTCTTTCTTCTAAAAATTGGGATTTCATCTTTCAAGTGAAGAGTTTGAAAAATCCTTACTGTTAAGTGATGTAACTATTTATAGAAGGCAATTTACCGGAGTGGCTTGAGATCCAAGCATAGTAGGCAATTCTTTTCTGATCCTATAGGCAAGCTTTTCAAGCCTGTACGAGAGTGTATAGGAACGGGATCGTCTCATGGCCCTTTACAGGCTCCACAATATTTTGAAATTAACCGATCAGCGACTATCCTTTGGAGAAAAAAACGCCTCTCCACTAAATTTGGGAAGAAGCAGCAGGAGGCACAGATTTAATATTTTCTTCTTTATTCTTAAATGAGCCAAGTTAACTTTTTCCCCCAACTTTCTCCCGCCAGAAAGTTCAAATTAAGAGTTGTAAAAATCTCCTTCCGCTCCAGTCTTCGGGGACTGGGCGCGAGGTGACGGACATAGATTTCTACCAATTGTTCAAGGGTTCTTCATACGTAGTCCCGCCTACTGAATACACCAAGCAGTAGCCAATGAGAATGCCGTTGTTTCAGCTTTCGGCCACCCGCGGAAGAAAAGGACAGAGTATTGGTCGTCGGCTGGCGCTGTCATCCAATAGAAGCACGCCGAGCTTGCGGTTTGGGCGGGCAGCTGGAGCTGTTTAGGAAAAGATGGTTGGCCTCTGGGCCCTCGGAGTTGTGCCGAAGTAAAGTCCGCAGATGCCACCGGTTCGGAAATTCCGGCGCTTGCCCGCACCTTCAGGTGAGATGGCGCTTGCTTCCGGCCGTGCCTTGGGCTTCTATTTTCGGAGTAATGTCCTAGGTTATGGTTTCTGGTTGCGTAACCTAGGAGGTGGGCTGCGGGCGGGCCTGGAACTCAGCGCCTGAGTAGGTTGCAAGGCCTCGGTGCGGGCGCCAGTCACTGAGAGCCAAGGATTCAGAACCCGCGGCCTACGGCGGGGCGATGTCGGGGCGAGGAGCGCGGGGTCGCCGAGTGGTCGCGGAAAGGACCGACATCCGAGGCGCCCATCGTCTGCCCCGATTCGCGTCAAGCCCCTGCACCATTTTCAAATTGCCAAAATTTAACCTTTTTTTTCCACAGTCACACTGTGACGTAAATGCTTTTGTGATCTCTGTTTCCTGGGTGAACAAGTAAATAGATTAGGAAACCCACTTCCGGTCTTCCAGGCGTTAAGGGGCAGAGCAGGGATCTGGACCCTTGTACGCCTGGCTGCACACTCCCGTTTCAGATCCTGCGTTGCCGAAGACTTTGTGCCCACCTGTTGTAAAAAATTAAAACCTGAGTTTTAAAACTTAATAAAATAGGACAGAAGTTGTGTGCATGCCTGTAATCCCAGCATAAATGGAGGCAGAGGCAGAAAGATTGTCACGACCAAACAAAAAATGAGTAAGATGGCAAGAAGTCTTGCTCCAGAATTGCGCTGTTGCTTGAACTTCGTGCTGCAATGAAAACATTGTGTCTCTTGTATGTGGTACTCATCGGCAAAAAGTGGCTTTGTTGTTTGTTTTGTTTTTGCCTTTTTGAGACAGGGTCTCACAATGCATTTCAGGCTGACCTTGGTCTCGAACTCTCAACAATCCTTCTGCCTTAACCTCCCTAGTGTTGAGATTACAGCGGTGCGCCACAGCTCTCAGCTTTTGTTTTTTGATACAGGGTCTTGGGTATCTAGTCCAACTTCACCTGTCTCAGATTCCTAAGCGCTAGAATAAAAGCATGAGCCACCATGCTTAGCTTTGTTGCATGTTTTTGGTGTCCTAAAGTGGAATTAGTCAATTTAGTACATTTACAGAACATAATGATTATATTTATCATGAAGAGCTGATACATATGCATCATACATCTCTTTTTATAGTCTTCTGACTCATGTTTGCCAATTTTTCTCTGAAACAATAGAAAAAACCTTTTAAAATTTTAAAAGATTTAAATGCACGTTTGAAGTTTTGTGTAATTTTTTAAACGCTTTACTAAAGTTATTTACTTTTTTTAATTTTTAAAATTTATTTATTTTTTTAAGTTATTTACATTTAATATCTGGATTTTTTTTTTTTTTTTTTTTTTTGGTACCAGGGGGCAAACTCAAGACCGCAGGCTTGCAAGGCAGGCGCTTATGCCGCTGAGCTAAATCCCCAGCCCCCCCCCCCTTTTTTTTTTTAGGGTAGAGGTGAGGCGGGGTCTTGCTATGTTGTCCAGGCTGGCCTGGAACTTGTTTTTAGCCGAGGCTGGTCTTGGACCCACAGTCCTCTTGCCTGGCCTTCCAGGTGCTCGGAGTATACGCCTGTGCCACCGTCTCTGGCTTGTCTTGTTCTCTCATTTGTTCTTTCACGTTCCTTTTTTATTGTTGGTATTGTTTTGGGATTTTTTTTTTTTTTTTTTTTTGATCTTTTTGAAACAAGATCTCACTATACAGTTCAGGGTGGCTTTGTACCCCAGGATGGTCTCGCATTCGCAACGAACCTTATGCCTCAGCCTTATGAGTGCTGAGAGTACAGCCTGGCTCTTTCACCTTTCTTAGCATTGTTTTTGTTTTATAGGTATACTATATTGGTAAAAGTCTTAAGATTTTAATTTTGTTTGATATTTGTAAACTCAATTTTTGGTCTGTTTCCTGGTTCTTGCATTGTTCTCCTTTAAATCTTTCCTTTTTTGCAGTTTATCTACTTTGGTCTCTTGTTGTCTGTTTTTTGAGATGGTGTCTCACTATGTAGCTCAGGCTGACCTTGAACTCTCATGTAGCTCAGGCAGGTTTCAAACTGGCAATCTTTCTGCCTCAGCCTCCTGAGTGCTAGGATTGTAGGCACGTACCACCATGCCCAGCTAGTCTCTCTTTTGTTGGAGAAGTTTACTCAAATTCTGATCCTTGACTATTCATTTTTTGAGACTCTGAAAAGCCAAGTTATAGCTCCATGTGAGCAGCTGAGCCTTATCTACTGGAGGGCTTTTAATTTTAGGTACGTGTGTAGAGAGCCATCTATTGGAGGATTCGTAACTGTCCAAGAAGATCTTTTTTCTTTTTCCAATTAAAATTTTTATACTTGATCTTAACCAAAAGGCCAAGAAGTGATCTAATTTTAATTTTTATTGGTACATGTTTACATAATGATTACATTCATCTTGAGTTGGGATGTGTACATAATAAATCTTAATTCCCTTTCCTCTCTCTTCTTGCCTCTCCACACTCCAAGATTTTTTTTTTTTTTTTTTTAATTCTACTTTTCTGGGGCTGGAGATTTAGCTCAGCAGCATAAGTGCCTGCCTTGCAAGCAGGCAGTCGTGAGTTTGATCCCTGGTACCAATAAAAAGGAAAAAGACCAAAAAAAAAAATTCTACTTTTCTTCGGAAAAAAATTCTCTCATCTCTTGCCTTAGGACATAAGGAATGTACAATATATAAACCTGAACATTGTGTCTGAGTTTGTGCAGGAAAAAGAAGCTGGGGAGAAGGGTTAGAAGTATACCACATTGTAGACTTTCTTCTAACCCCTAATTTTTTTCTATGCTGAGCTACTTCCCACCCTCGTAATAAGTGTATCTGGTTCATATTTCTAGTTTTCTGCAGCATAGAGAGAAGAGGCTTTGTGTGTTTTGGCCTGGCTGGTGTAACACTCAGTTCCCCGGATTGGCTTTGGAAATTGATCCTCCAAAAAAAAAAAAAAAAAAAAAGAAATTGATCCTCCAGCCTCCGTTTCCTACAGTGCTGGAATTAAAGGCATGTACCACCATGCCTGACTATAAATGCTTCTTGTAGACAGAAAAGTTTACTACCAGAGCTTGACTTGAGTAACTAATATATTCTCTTTAAGCCCAATTTTTTTCTTGGTTTTTAAAATGTCAGTTTATTTATTAATTGTGCATGCTAGCCTCTTTACCTAAGAACGATCTTAATCATCAGGCTGTGTTATAACAGCTGCCTCCCGCACACCCTCCAGCCACCCAGAACTGGGGGTCAAACCCAGGGCCTTGGTACTGGTATACGTCCCAGCCCTGTTGTTTTCTTTTGAGAATGGGTCTTGCTAAATTGCCCTGACTGAGCTTGAGTTTGGTCATCCTTTTGTTTTAAGATCCAGAGTGCTGGGATTATAGACATGCACCACCACACCTGGCTGATATGTTTTATCTATCTTACTAATGATATTTTTTACAAATGTTGTTTCCCCAGTGATGGCTCACGAAGCACTGGGCTATGATCCTCTGGTGCATTCGGATGTTGATACTGCAGATCCTGTTGCTGAGTTGATTGCCAGCCAGGGGAATCTGCCTGTGCTCCAGCCTGCTCCTACTGAGGTGGCTGCAAGCCAGGGGACACCACTCCTGCTCCAGTCCCCTCCTATGGAAGTGGCTAGATGCCAAGGGACACCACGCCTGCTCCAGTCTGCTCCTATGGAAGTAACTTCAAGCCAGGGGACACCACTCCTGCTCCAGTCCGCTCCCATGGAAGTGGCTGGAAGCCAAGGGATGCCAAACCTGCTGCCGTCCACTCCTATGGAGGTGGCTGGAAGCCAGGGGGCGCCACACCTGCTCCAGTCCACTCCCATGGAAGTGGCTGGAAGCCAGGGGACGCCACTCCTGCTCCAGTCTGCTCCTGTGGAAGTGGCTGCAAACCAGGGGATGCCACTCCTGCTCCAGCCTGCTCCTGTGGAAGTGGCTGGAAGCCAGGGGATGCCACTTCTGCTCCAGCCTGCTCTGGTTCAAGTGGTCAGCAGCCAAAGAGGCCTAACACTTCTCCAACCTGTTCCCACTCAAGTGGCCAACAGCCAGGGAAGACCACTCCTTCTCCAGTCTCCTCCTCCTCCTCCTTTTCTTCCTCTTCATCCTCAAGCGGCCAGCAGCCAAGAGGGATCTCTTGTGCTCCCACCTGCTCCACAAGTGCCCATTGACCTGACAGAGGAAGTAGAACAGTCAGGAGAGAATGTAGAGAACAATCCAGAAAGTTTAGGGGAGCCTAGGCAGGGATCTGGTGCTCACCATGCTGTCCAGCCACCTTCACTAGAATCAGTGAACAGCTTCATCAGTGGGCTACAGAGGCTGCATGGCATGCTGGAATTCCTGAGGCCCCCTCCGCCTTCAGACCACAGCGCAGGACCATTGAGAGCAAGGAGAAGGGGGCGCACTTCACGTCGGGCGAGAGCTGGGACTTCCCAGAGGGCAGACCGTGCCAGGTAAGTATATGTATAAGTTCTGTGGGGCATTGTAGGAATTGTGAAACTGGTCAGGCACCCAGGGCTGCCCAGGATAACACTTTTCCCTCCTTTTCTTTGAGATAGGATCTTGCTTGAACTTATGATCCTGCCTCAGCCTCTTGAGTGCTGGGATTATAGACTTTTACTTTTTCCGCCTGGCTCAAGAATAATCTTCCTGAGCCCCTTTTCTTTAAAGATAAGCACATAAAAGTGCTTCCCTGGTTTACTTCACGAAATAACAGACAGTATAAATTTCCTGATACGCTTTGAAAAGTAGAAGCATTTTTTTTAAGTTTCTTAGAAAGTCGCTGTAGAGGCTGGCATTGTCCACATTCTCTTGGCACAGATAGTGTGCTACATATAGAGTGTACTTTATCAGAAAATTCCTCAAATAAATAGTCTGTATTCAGAGTGCAGATTATAGAATTTAGATGTTAGAGGTGGACTGATAGCCACATGTTTGTTTCCACAAAGGAAATAAACCTAAAAGACTGTCAGTTCAGTGGGAAGAACATGGATTTTGGATCAGATGAACATAATGGTAAAACTTACTCAGTTCACACAAAAATTTGAATCTTGCTAGAACATTTTTCTTGTAACTTTGGAGTATCTTAAGATGACAAGATGAAAATCTGTCTTGTTACTTTTCTCGTTGCTGAGACAAAATGCCCAGCACCCAAAGGAAAAGGGGGAAAGGTTTATTTAGCTCACTCTGGCTAGCTCCAAGGAAGGGGTACTGTGGCAAAGGGGCATCACAAAGGAGAAACAGTTCACGACGGCGGGCAGGAAGTAGCAAGCAGCAAGAGCCTCCAAACCTGCATTTATGTTTCTTTTTCTTGTTTTCTTTTGATCGGTACCAGGGATCGAACTCACGACTTTGCAAGCAGGCACTTATGCCACTGAACTAAATCCCTAGCCCTATGTTTCTTTTTTTTTTTTGGATGGAGGATCACAGGACCTCAGGCATTTATCAGGCAAGCACTTTGCCATTGAGCTCAAACCCTGACCCTACATTTATATTTCATGTAGCTACTGCCCTTTGGGCATTGCCACCCACTTCCAGAGTGGGGCACCCTTAATCCCAGCATCACACACTCTAGATCCAGCTGTCTCAGGATAAACCGACTTAGGACCACATGAAGGTTTAGGGGGACATCTGGATACAAGTCATATCATTCTGCCTCTTCCCCCTCCCCCCCAAGACTCATGCACATCACTTTATGCAAAAGATGTAGTCCATCTCTAAGAGTTGCAAAAGTCCTAACAATTTCAGCATCGCTGAAAAAGTCCAAGTCTAAAGTCTCTTCTGGCCAGGCATGGTGCATGCCTGTTATCACAGCACTTGGGAAGCTGAGGCCAAAAGATTGCTGTGAGTTCGAGACCAGCCTGAACTACACAGCAAGACCCTATCTCTAAAAACAAAAACAAAACAACCCCTGAAATTTTAGAAAACTCTTCTAACTGTGAGCACCTATACAGATGAAAGTTAAACACTTGAAATATACAATGGCACAAGAAAGATATTTCCATTGCAAAAGGTACAAAGATAGGGCTAGAAAGGAATGGGAACAAACAAACATTAATTCCCATAGATTCTTGTACAGCGTCTGGTGCAATCTGTGGCACGCTGTAAACTCCAAAGGACTGGGGTTGCTCCACCCCCATGGCACCTCCAGTAGCCTCCTTGGCTTCTGTCTTTGACTAGCTTTGCTCCCTCCTTGTACCTTTCCTCAGATGGTCCACATTCCTGCCTTCTCCAGCCTTCTGGGGTCTCCATTGCATTTTTGGCTTCACACAGCTTCGCACACTGCCTGGCCTGCCAGGCCTTCTTCTGGAGTCTCAGTGGAAGTTTTCCAACCCCACAACTCTTCATTCTGCATGCACCTAAAGCCATGTGGAACCACTTGGTCGGTGCCAGTGTCTGCCACCAGCTAAAGCACTAGCGAGGCTTCCTTCTCTCTGACTATAGGTATTGAGGGCTTGCAAGTACTAGGAACCAAATCCTGAGAAGAACTTTCCTAGGCTACCACTATTCTGGAACATGGTGCTCTGGGGTTTTCTTTCTTTCTTTCTTTCTTTCTTTCTTTCTTTCTTTCTTTTTTTATTGGTACCAGGGATCGAACTCACGACCACCTGCTTGCAAGGCAGGTGCTTACGCCGCTGAGCTAAATCCCCAGCCCTGGGGTTTTCTTATTATAGCAGTCTCTCAGTTTTGCACTTTTAAGACTGCTAAAGCTGAAGTCCTGATGGTTCCTTTTTTTTGGTCTTTTTCCTTTTTATCGGTACCAGGGATCAAACTCACGACTGCCTGCTTGCAAGGCAGGTGCTTATGCCACTGAGCTAAATCCCCAGTCCCCTGATGGTTCTTCCCCACCCCCACCCCCATGGTTCTTGTAATGTCCTCAGTGCTATCTTTTCTGTTGTCCTGTTCCTTCTCAGCAACTAAGTTCCCTTCTCCATCTTTGCAATCACCAGCTGTACTGGAGTTTCCCTTCTGCCCAAACTGACAACATTTTAAATCATTCTGCTGGGCTCTTTGCTCTTGATTCTCAGCATAAATCTGACTAAGAGCCCCTGTTCAACAGTAGCCATGCCACTGCTTCAGCATTAGACTTCGTGAAATTTCTTCTGCAAGATTAATTAGTTGGGGCTGGTGATTTAGCTCAGCAGCATAAGCGCCAGCCTGAGAAGCAGGCAGTCGTGAGTTCGATCCCTGGTACCGATTAAAAAAAAAAAAAGATTAATTATTCCACTACCTTTAGTCTCAGACAGAGGCTTTGGATATGAGCGAAATGCAGACAAATTTTCTGCGCACATGTATCGCACACATGGTCTGAAGTCCAATAGCCAATGCAGTCCTTGTTCCCAGCAAAAACCTCCTGAGCCCAGCCTGTACCAGCAGCATTTCTGTCAGGATTCTGGTGCTCTGAGCTCTGGCCAGTGTCTCCCATCAAGTATAATTTTTTTTCTTCCATCAAGTATAATTTAAAGCATTCTAGGGCTGCAGCTTCAGCCGGCATCTCCAAACCCTTCCAAATTCTTTGCACAAGCCAGTTTCAAAGACTCCTGAACCATATGGTCAGAAATAGTCATAGCAGTGGCACCACTCCTGGTAGCTAAATCTTAGTTACTTGTTGCTGAGGCAAAATACCCAATACCCACAGGGGAGGAAAGGTTTATCATAGCTCACATTTTGTAAAGGTTGCATAGTTGGCTGGCTCTAAGGCAGGGTGGCATGGTAGGAGGCATCACAAAGAAGAAATAGTTCATAGTCGGGCAAGCAGGAAGCAGCAGGCCTGCCTGTTAGTTTTATCCAGGCCACCTGCCCTTTGGGCCATGCCTCCCACACCTGGGTGGGAGGGCCCTTAATGCCAGCATCACACAGTAGATCCAACCACCTCTGTAAAACCCCTCCTGTGACTGCATGAGTCTTTGGGGACACATCTAGATATAAGCCATAACACTATCTCAGTGTGATGTTTGCTATTTTTTCACCAACAAGCCATCCCTGGGCAGGGCAGGTGTCAAGAAACAGGGCCAATTTGGACAGTTTTTTTCTTTAATACTAAACCAGGAAGCCAAAGGTGGAGAAAGCTAGGGGGCTATTTTAGTAAACTTGTTGGCCAGTCACACGCTCCTATCCTATTTCTTTGGGGCTGCTTGGTTCTGGATGTCAGTCATCAGTCATTAAATAGTCATAGCTGTCTATCCTGTGAGAGACTGGACTTTGCCCTGGAGATGTATTGGAGAACAGGCATATCAAGGTACCTGTTGCCATGACATATGAGGAGTCTAAACAGAGATTTAGAGCACAGAGGAAGAGGATGCCTTGGGTTCTGAAAGACCCTAGCACTGTTCTTGTTCTCTTTGTTTCCCTTTCTGTGTCTCATCTGACTCAAGAAATGCTGATTTTGCTATGTAAAAGTAAGATTAAAAGATTTATTTTTTAAATACTTGCTTTTATCAGTGGCCTAGCCTGTATATAGTATGGATATAATTTGACTGAAATGTTCTTAGGAGTTTTTTTGTTCCCAGCTGTGAATTAATTTGAATCCAGGGCCTTTGCAATGAACTACATCCCAGGCCCTTTTTTTCTCTGAGACAGGGTCTGGCTGAATTGCCCAGGCTGGACTCAAACTCCTGCCTCCTCCTCCCACACTGCTGGGATTATAGGTATGTGCCACCGCCCATGGCATGAAATGCTATTCTTTTGCTTTGGTTCTTGTGGTAGCTGTGACTACTGTCCACCCACAATCTCCAAAAATAAGTTGGTAGATTTGTTTAACATCATTGTAAAAAGAACCTGGGCCAGTGTGGTGGTACATATTGTAATCACAGCACCCAAGAAGATGGGGTGGGGAAGGGATATTAGTTTAAGGCCAACCTGGACTGCATAGCCAATTCAAGGTCAACCTGGGCTATATCATGAGACCCTGTCTCAAAAAAGCAAGGAAAAAAACATGAATGGTGCAACAGTGGAATAATAAGGATCATGGAAAATAGGCTCCTTAAAAACAGTGGAACTGGGGCTGGGGATTTAGCTCAGTGGCATAAGCGCCTGCCTTGCAAGCAGGCAGTCATGAGTTCGATCTCTGGTACTGATAAAAATGAAAAAGACCAAAAAAAAAAACAGTGAAACTAAAGCCCCCTTCTAGTTTAGAATGGGCATTGTTGACTGATACCCAAAGTTGGTCAGTGTGGGCCAGGGACTTAACTCAGCAGCCTGGCAAGTGCAAGGTTGAGTTCAGTCCCTGATATCAACATTGGTCATTGTGGCTAAAGTTGAGACACAAGTCATGCTTATATCCCACAGTAAATGTATTACAATGGTGACACTGAAACCTGTAACATTTTCCTCAAGGGCAATGAAAAATGTTGACCTTCAATAATAGATCATGTGATAAAATGCCAGTACTTTGTAAACTTCAAATTTTAGACTCTTAAAGTAAAAATTGCTCAAAGCAATTTGGATCTAAGATCTCAAGACTTTTGAAGTTGTCATTGTCTGTAATTCAGGTAGACATAAAAGAATTGTAGGTAGACAGGACGATTGGATTATCAGTTCCTTTCTTTTGTCATGTTTTGACTTTTTGTTTTTGCTTTTTTGTTTTTGTTTTTTGAGGCAAGATCTCATGTATTTCAGGGTAGTCTAATTCTAGTCCAGGCTGGCTTCAAACTCACGGTGGTCCTCCTGCCTCAGCCTCCACAGTGCTGGGATTACATATTACATACGTGCACCACCATGCCCAGTGCCCAACATATAGGATATCCAGGTGTCAATCTTAGTTCTTGTTAAAAGGTGTTTTGTCTTGTTTTGTTTTGTTTTTTGAGACAAGGTCTCACTAATTCAACTTGCTATGAACTTGCCTTGAATTTGCTATGTAGCAGAGACTGGCCTTGAACTCACAGCAATCCTTCTGCTTCAGCCTCCTGAGTACTGGAATAACAGGTGTAAGCCACTGCCCCTGGCCTAAAAAAGGCTATTTTGAAGACAAAGAATCTCATAAAGGTCTAGAGATACAGCTTAGCAGCACAGCACCTGCCTGGCGAGCACTAGGTTGTGGGTTCAATTCCTGGTACCAAAAATAAAATAAAATCTCATTAAAGCGACCTTGATGAGACCATCGGGGAAAACAGAAGGATTTTATTTCAAGGCTTCAGGTGCAGGCTGGCTCAGCTTGAGTTCATGATGCTCCAAATGGCTGAGCATTAGACAAGGGACAGGCCTTAGTTCTTACATATTTGGTCAAGGGGGTTGATCTGCATGGAACTTGTGGGCAAGCAGAAGAAGAACAAATTATGTCAAGCTGTAACAGTTTGGGGTTTTAGTGGCCCTGCTTGGCTATAACAAGATGTTAGGAGAACAGAAGGTTATAAAATTTCACTTAGAGGGACAAAAGCTACTGCTTTTATCTGTATTAGAACAAAGAACAGACCAGGAGGATCACTGAGTTCAAGGCCACCCTGGGCTACAATAGTCGTGATAACATTTTGATAAAAACAAAGAGGAAAAAGCTGAAACAACTTGCAAAATCTGTCAAGATCAACTTTTTTTTTTTGTCTTTTTGTTTTTTTCTTTTTTTTTTTGTCAGTACTGGGGATCGAACTCACGACTGCCTGCTTGCAAGGCAGGCGCTTATGCTGCTGAGCTAAATCCCCAGCCCCCCAAGATCAACTTTTTCAGAACTCTGGGAATTAATATATTAATCCAGGGACAAAAAGTAGCTGGATCTGTTTCGTGGCTTCCTCTATTCCTGTCCCCTCTTTCTCTAGCTCCCTAGGAGTCTTGAAAACCAACTACCTTTGTCTGTAATTCCAGCACTTGAGAGGCTGACAGGAGGATTTCCCTAACAAGATCAAGGCCAGCCTGGGTTACACAGCGAGACCCAGTTTGCAAACCAAGGAAAACTAAAGCTTTAGGACTAAGCCCCCCACTCCCCTAAAAAAGAAAATCAACTACCTGCAGTCACGGGAGAGCCAGCAGCCTGACAGCCGCCGGTAGATACAGAGTAGGCTTGGCACACCTTCAAAGCCTTGCTGTTCCTAAGGAATTTTCTTCATGTGCCTTATCTGATGGTGCCCAGCCACTTGCAAGGCTGTGATTCAGTTAGTGTGGTCCAAAAAAAAAGCATAACTTCTTTTCCCTAGGGTTTGCCCAAGGCAGTGCATACTCAGTAAGACAAATGATAGATAGACTAGCCAAAAATCGTAAAAGGAATATTTGGGGAATGAGTAGAGGTTTAGAAAAAAATAAAACCAGGCTGGGGATTTAGCTCAGTGGCGTAAGCACCTGCAGGGTCGTGAGTTCAATCCCCAGTACTGATTTAAAAAAAAAAAAAAAAAATCCTCTGATGCAGTCCAGGGAATTTAGAAGGCTACATATGTACTAGCAAAGGCACACTACTAAGTTTTATTGTCAAGGTTTTTTTTTTTTTTTTTTTTTTCCAGTCCAGGACAGAATCTCACTAAATTGCCCAGGCTAGCCTTAAACTCACAGTCCTCCTACCTCAGCCTCGAAGTAGCTGGGATTACAAGTGTGAGACACTACTCCCTGATCCCCTTTCAGCTTTCAAAGTCAGCATTTAATGGCCGGAAGATGGATTGAAATGACTAGAATTTCCCCCAGTCACTGTAGGTTGTTTTTCATGATGGTCACTCGTGCTGTAATTCTGTCTGTTGGCTTTCTGCACATGTAGGTCAAGAGCACCATTGGATGCCTACTTCCAAGTGAGCAGGTCCCAGCCTCAGCTGACAGCCAGCTCTTACGATCCAGAGATTAGAAATCCAGTGTCTGAAGATGTGCAGGGATCAGGTAGCTCTGATTCTGACAGTGACAACTCTGCAGAGTATGAAGGAGTTGTTCCACCAGAGGAACCTGGAGCTGTCCCCACAGAAGGTCAGTAGCAGCCAGGTTGTGCTCACAAGGCTGACAGCCACAAAACTGTTCGTGTGATTCGTGTCCCAATACCAAATGTAATGGCATTTTACACTCCCTGTTGTTATATGTCAGAGAAAAAGGTAGTTTTTAGTTTGTTGTTTGGTACCGGGAATTGAACTCCTGACCTTCCACTTGCCAGGCAGGCACTGTGCCACTGAGCTGAGCTATGTCCCCAGCTAGATTCATTCTCTTTCTTTCTTTATTTTGATACCAGGAATCGAACTCATGACCTCACGCTTGCCAGACAGGCATTTATGCCGCTGAGCTAAATCCCCAGCCCCAGATTCTTTATTTAAAAGAGAAATTTTCTAAATTTCAGCACCTTGTCTGAGCAGTCTGTTTGAAGCTCTCATGTAATATTTTGTATTGGGCCAGGGAGACTTGGTAGTAGGTTAACGTAGATACCCTGATTACATTAGAAATTCACTGAATGCTGGGCATGAGAAGGTGAGGGGAGGGGAGAGGAAAAAGCCAGGCATGATGGCCCATGCCTGTGATCCCAGCACTGGGGAGGCCAAGGAAGGACGATCACAAGTTCAGGCCCAGCCAGATCAACTAAACAATTTAGCAAGACCTTGTCTCAAAATTAAAAAAGGACAGTTTGATTTTGTTTGAGATGTATCTTACTGTGTTGCCCAAGTTGGCCCTAAATTCCTGGGCTTGGGATCTTCCTGCCTCAACCTCCTGAGTGGCTGGGACTACAGATGCTCATCACCACCCCGATTCCTAGAAATGTTTTAAGTTGGATTACCGTGGTGGCCACCTGCTCTGAATTTAGTGGCTGTAGAAGTTAAATAATGTCACAGGGAAGCATTTGGCCATATCCAGGATATAGGGAATATCATAAAGCAAATGACCAGATTTCCCCAGCAAATCAGTGACAAGAAGCAGAAGTGGAGGGAGAATTGTAATACTGTGAAAAAAGGACTGAAGACAGCAGTCAAGTTCATTTTGGAAGTTTTTTTTTTTTTTTTTTTATAATTCTGATGAGAATACACTATAGAAAGTAGTTTGGAGGTGGGCATTGGAGGGTTTTTTTTGAAATGGTCTAGTTACATAATCCAGGCTGGCCCGAACTTACAACAGTCCTTCGGCTTCAGCCTCCCAAATGCTGAGATTAAGGTATGCACCCACCACACCTGGGGAAGCAGTTGTAACACTACTGGGAAATTTTGATATGAACCGAATGTCTGAGTAGTAGATGACATTAAAAGATCTTTTTCTCTCAGTTGTGTTAATGATACAGTTTGCGGAAAAAAGAATTCTTACTAGCTTTACTTAAGTCTCAAGAAGTGTGATGACATTTTTAGGGGTTGTTAAAACAGGATGGATGGTGGGAGCAAGATTAGCAAAACATTATTTTTTAAATGGAGTGATGATTATTTGTGAATTAACCATACTGTTCTCATTTTTATTCATTTTTTTATTTTTCAACTTTCATGTATGAGATATGAAAAATACATGAACTATGCCAGGAATGGAAGTCCACCCTTGGAATCTCAGCTTTTGGGAGGCTGAGGCAGGAGGAGGATTACCACGAGTCTGGGCTGCATAGTGAGACCCTGCTTCAGTCAATCAGTCAATCCAAATTCATTGATGCTACTTGGGGAAATTGTTGTCCCTTTTACAGAACACCACCCCTTAGAAATAACAAGCTGCACTGAAATAGGCTTTCTCTAGCATCTACTAATTTGTCTTTTGAATGTTACCTCTCCTGTCATGTTTGTGTACGACTTGGCAGAACAACAAAGTGTCTCAGCAGAGCAAGCAGTTACACAGATGAGCCAGGATGAGGCCGCCACCAAAGAGGTAATGTGTACTTCTGTTATTTACTTGTTAGTGAGGCTGGAGATCCAGTCTAGGACTGTGTGTCTTATGTCCCTGCCCCTTTTTAAATGAAAGCTTGGATTTTTTACTTATGTTTTGGGGGGGTAGTATTGAGAGTGGAACCCAGGGGCTAATGTGTGCTACACAAGCACCTTACCACTGAAAGAAGTTGCCAACCTGGCCTCAGAGTGGGAATTCTTCTGTCTCAGTCTCCTAAGTAGTTGAGACACGCAGGTTTTCATTTTAACGGATACTGCAGGTTAAAATGGAAACCTTCAGGCTTTGTAGACAAGATCCAGATATGGTTCCTATCCTAGTTACGCTTTATTATTTGTGTGATTGCTTTCTCTTATGCTTAAAAAGATTGGGACCTTTGAAGATAACCTGTTTTGTCTACCTAACAAGGTTAAATGTTAACTGGAAAAAACAGGTAACCAGTATGCTTTATAAACAGTTCAGCAGAATGTGAGTAGTGTGTGATAATTTAAAAAATAACAGTTCTAGGACAAAGGATTTAGCTCAGTGGCTCAGGTGCTTACCCGGTAAGTGCCAGGTTGTGAATTTGATCCCTGGAACCAAAAAAAAAACTTAAAAAATAACTTCTGTCTGCTCAGGAACGAGTGGCTGAATTGTATCATACAAGCTGCTGCTTATTAGGTGGACAAGTTCCACCTTCACCACCTCCCCCTTCCCCATATGAGGGGCCTACAGGGAGGTGGGGGGAGTTTAGGCAGGAGCTCCCCACCCCTCTGTAGGCACAGGTCCTCTGAGAGGCCTGAACCCTGATCTCTTCTGTGTCTTCTGGGCTCAGGAAGCTGAGACGCCAGAAGCAGGCGCGCTTCTCACATGCCCCTTCATCTGAGAAATGGCGGAGATACTGCACTAAAAGCTTGAGCCTCCATCCAGAGATGTTGAAATCTTTTTTTTTTATTCCACGATACATCAGGGTTTTTTTGGTGGTAGGATGGGGTGCGTCAGACAAGTTGTGTTTCGCAGATGTTATCGTAAGGCCGGGTGTGTAGTCGCAGTACTTGGGAGGCTGCGGATTGTGAGTTCTAGGCCACCCTGAACTGCATAGCGCATCCTATAAGAAGATTTTTAAAAAAGAAAGAAACTTTTGTAATGTTTCTTTGTTTTGGTTTGGTTTTTTGTTTGTTTTTAAGACTGGGTCTCATGTGCAGTTCAGGCTGGCCTTGGGTTCACTTTGTAACCCAGGTTGGTCTCTAACTTGCAACAGTACTCCTGCCTCAGCCTCCCAAGTGTGGGATTACAGGAGTGCCCCACCATGCCCGGCTTGGAAATCGTTTTTAACGTCTTTTTACTATTCTTTGTTTCTTTGTTTCTGGTACCAGGAATTGAACTCAGGACCTCATACCTGCCGGGCAGGTACTGTGCCACTGAGCTATTCCCTGGCACTCTTTTTACTCTTTCTTGCTGATGTTATTTCATAGAATAAGGAACAACTTTGACCAGTTTATGGGACTTTGTATACAGTTTTTTAAAATCTCAGGCTTCTTTTTTTTTTTTTTTTTTTTTTGTGATACCGGGAATCGAACTCACAACCTCATGCTTGCCAGGCAGGTGCTTATGCCGCTGAGCTAAATCCCAGAACCTCAGGCTTCTATTTTTAATGTTAGTTTTCATTAAAATTTTTTTGTATTGGCCCTGAATCAAGGCCTGCAGATTGCTATAGCTGCTGGTTTCAAACAGGAGCCTAAAGAGAACTCTTTGTGTGGTCTGTTGGTCATTTCAGAACTTTGGAAATGTAATGCTCAATTCATCAGAAAGAAACAGCTTTTAAAAAAATTTTTTTTTTAATGGAACCGCATAACAAGTATGGGGAGGATATTGTGCCTTATTTCAACAGTGTTGCTAATTTTTAGGCTGAACAATAATGGATACATAGAGTTTACCTTGTTTAATTAAAATCAGTATTTCTCTAAAAAATAAAAAGTAATAGGCCAGGCATAGTAATAGTGATCCATGCCAGTAGTCTGAGCACCCTAGGATGCTGAGGCAGGAGGATCACGAGTTGGTGCCTTGGCAGCTAAGTGACTTAGCGAGACCCTGTCTCAAAGGAAAAAAATAACGGGGCTGGGGATTTAGCTCAGCGGCATAAGCGCCTGCCTTGCAAGCATCAGTCGTGAGTTCAATCCCTGGTACTGATAAAAACGAAAAAAAAAAGGAAAAAAATAATGGAAAGGTTCAATCCTGAGGACTGCGGAAAGAGCAAATAAAAAATTGACTGCTGTAATGCCTGCTCCATGCTCCATCATAGAAATACATCAGGGTTAACCTTCCCTCCCCTCATCATATGCATGCAGTTGTTTCCTGTTTTTCTGGTATAAATCATAGTGCACTGAACATCTCGTACCATTTGTCTTAGCAAATATCCGTGACTGTATCCATGGGGTATATAGTATTTCTAGCAGGAAGACTGTGTCAAAAGTAAAACAGATGTGTTTTCAGTATAGCTAAGATAGGTGTGGTACTGTACCCTGTAATTCTAGCACTCAGGAGACTGAGGTTGGAGAATCGCCCTGAGTTTGAGGCTAATCTGGACTACATAGTGAGACCTTGTCTTAAAAAACCCCACCAAATTGCCCTCCAGAAATGTGTGTAGTGTTACCTTTACTTCAATAATATATAAACATGGTTATTTCTCTCACCCTCAATGGTTCTTGGTGTCATCAGACATCATTTTATACCATTCTGCATATTTCAGTGGATTACCTAATATTGAGTGTATAACAAACCTGTTATTCTCTATTGTTGATGATCTTAGTAGTTGATAGGATATCTTTAAAACATATTTGTTCAGATAGCTACTTTTCTTTATTTGAATAAAGGAAAAAAACCCAAGGATTTAATAAAATTGAAAAGTATGTTCTGCCAGGTATAGTGACACATGCCTGTAATCTCAGCACCCAAAGGCTGAGGCAGGATTTCCATGAATTCAAGGCCAACCTGGACTCCATAGTGAATTGAAAGCCAGTCTGAACTACTTAGCCCCTATCTGAAACAAAACAAGAAAAAGTGTTCCTAGACTGTATCTCAGAGTGTATATGCTTAGCATGTGCAGAATCCTGATTCAGTCCCCCCCAAAAATCTCATTGCTTATCGTTTTATGTTGCCAGAATTTATTCTGGGGGGGTGGGATGACAAGTTACCCTTCTCTTACAGTGTTTTCATATAGGTTTGTATAATCTTTGCTCACTTCTGTTATTTGATGCTAACTCCCTCATTCTCCCACCCCATTCAAGATCAGTCATGCCTTTTGCCATTTGAATCTGTTCTGAATTTCATCCAGCAGTCTCCCCGGAAGTCCAGCACCCCTCTGCCAACTGCTTCCATGGATGAAGAAGAGGAAGGGGACATTTGTACCATATGTTTCGAACATTGGACCAGTGCTGGGGACCACCGGCTGTCAGCATTACGCTGTGGTCACCTCTTTGGATACCGATGCATTTCTAAGTGGCTCAGAGGACAAGCACGAAAATGTCCACAGGTAAGGACCATAGTAAAGACTCAGCATGTTAAGTCAAAATTTCTGCCGTCACACTAATTTTGTCCCATTAAATCTTTAGTGCAACAAGAAGGCCAAGCACAGTGACATTGTTGTCCTTTATGCCCGAACCCTAAGAGCATTGGACACTAGTGAACAGGAGCAGGTGAAAAGGTAGGTGGTGAGAATGTGCCTAATTTGCAGAGTTCCCTTCTGGTTCTCTTTAGGCATTTGAAAAAGAAAGTATGAGCCCGGGCTGGGTGTAGTGCGCATGCCTCTAATCCCAGCTCTCAGGAGGCTGATGCAGGAAGATTGTCATGGGTGTGAGGCCATCCTAAGCTACATAATGAGCTCAAGGTCAGCCTAAATTACATAGGAAGACCCTGTCTCAAAGCTGGGTATAGTGGTGCACACCTGTAACCCCAGCTCTCAGGAGGCTGAGGCAGGAGGATCATTGCAAATTTGAGACCATCCTGGGCTACAAAATGAAATCAAAGCCATCCTGAACTGCATAGCAAGACCCTGTCTCAAAAAGATTAAAAAAAAAAAAGTAAGCAGGAGTCCATTTTAATGTGAGTCTGATGCTGAATTACCTATGACTTGGAGTCTCTGGAAATCATCACAGCCTGCCCTACATAATTGCATATAATTCATACCCAATCTACCTCTCAAAGGAATCTGAATGGTTTGTGGTCATGTAACATCAGAAGTGTGAATCTGAGCTGGGGCGCCTTCGAATGTTGCTGCAGTTCCAAGCACTCGGTAGGCTGGGGTTGGAAGATAACTTGAGTCCAGAAGTTCAGGGCCAGCTTGGGCAGCAGAATGAGATGCCATCTTAACAGCAAAGCGGATCTGGCACATTTATTTCACTGTTGCCATTTTTACTCTTCGTGACCCCAATGCCTCATACAACAGCCCTGGCTATTCACAGCTGCCCCATAAGTGAAATTTCCAGAAAGTACAGTGTTACTAATAACATTACTTAAAAAGTGCTTTAAGAATGTTAAAGAATTAAAATGTCCACCACTGCAAGAGTGGATTCTCATATTCCACTAGTAATGACATACAAAGATACATCTGGTACTTCTATTTCAGGCATTTGTTCTAAAGAAACAAGAATATGTGCAAAGGTTTACTTAATGAAACTTAGTTTAGTAGTCCAGCTCAAGAGAGTTAATTGAGTGAACTATGGCATATCCATGTGGTGGAATATTATACATTCATTAAAAGTGATATTGTCTGGGGTTGTAGCACATTGCCTGTCATTCCAGCACAGAAGTTAGGCAGGAGGATCATTATGAGGTCCAGGCCAGCCTGGATTATGTAGCAAGACGGTGTCTTAAGCAAACAAAAAACACTGATAGTGAATGCACATAGGTTATCACATGAAAACATTATTATTTTGGTTGCTTTTTCTAAACTGGGAAACACTTCAGGTTTTCATGTTTCCGCATTTTTTCCAACAAATATTTATTTGTGTTGAAAAGACAAAATCAGGTTGAGAATGTAGCTCTGTAGCAAAATAAATGCTTTCCTAATACTGACAATTCAATCTCCAACACTGCTAAAAAAACAAAAATCCTTTGCAATTTTGATTGTAATTTCATTAAATTCCTTACATTAGTTTGAAAAGTACCATCTCCATAATACTGAGTCTTTCATGCCCTGAACATGTATAATATCTTTATAAAAGTCACTCAGGTACTTTTTTGAGTTTACTTTTAGATTGTTAAAATTACTGTTAGGAGTGAATTTTTTCCTGCCACATTCACTAATGAGTTGTCTGGAGAAGGCAGTCTTTTTTTTTTTTTTTTTTTTTTTTCTCTTTTTCTTTTTGAGACAGGGTCTCTATGCAGTTTAGGCTGGTCTTGAGCTCACTTTGTAGCCCAGGCCTCTCTTGAACCCACAGCAATTCTCCTGTCTCAGCCTCCTGAGTGCTGGGATTGGTCATGTGCCATTATACCCAACTTGATCAGATTTTCTTATATTTGCTGTTTTGCTACCTCTGCTGTCCTCAAACTCACGGTCCTCCCGAGTACCTGGGATGAGGAACAGGCCACCGTGCCCAGCTGATCTGATTTCCTTGCTCTTGATTCTAGCAACCTTGCCAAACTATAATTGGATCTCTTGAATTCTCTGTGGAAATAAATGAGGACAACTTCATCTATCTTTTGCTTTCCAGTTTTCTTTCTTCTTTCCAGGTTTTGTTTTGTTTTGTTTTGTTTTTAAGCTTAGTTTTTATTTTAGTTTTTTGAGACAGGGTCTTGCTCTGTATGTAGCCCAGTCAGAACTTGAACTTGGGGCAATCTTCCTGCCTCGGCCTCCTGAATTCTGGGATTATTGACCTGCATTACCACACTTGGCATGCTCCTTGCTAATTTTCATTTGTTTGTTTGTTTGTTTTGGTACTAGGGATTAAACTCACGACTCCACACTTACTGGACAGGCACTTACTCCAGTGAGCTAGATCCCTGGCCCTTTTCTTTCCAGTTTCCTTGGAATGGAATTATATCCTTTTTTTTTTGTCTTTTTCGTTTTTATCGGTACCAGGGATCGAACTCACGACTGCCTGCTTACAAGGCAGGCGCTTATGCCGCTGAGCTAAATCCCCAGCCCCTTATATCCTTGTTTTTTGCATTTCCAGTTTTGCAACTATTTTTAGGTACATGCATATTTATGATTGTTATTTTTGATGAATGTCACATTTTCTCATGTATTATCTCTCTTCATGCCTGTGTATTCCTTTTGCCTTAATTCTAATTGCTCTTTTTAATTTCAGCCTTATTTTGATGCTGTTAATTTGAGTATTTCAGGAACAATCAGCCAGTAGCTTATCCTTTGTAATTGCCTTAGCTCAAGCAGTGAGTTGACTGTGTTTCCTCCTTTACTGGTTCTTTAATCCTCATTCCCCAGTTGCATTCACTTTCCTGGCCCTCATTGCTTGCTGTAACTATTGGGAGACTTTGAAGCTGGAGATTGATCACCTGTGCAGGGCTGCAGCATGGTGGGGACATGACCGTACCAAAAACAAACAGCGCCAGTGGCAGCCATCTGAAGAAGTTGCTACAGCCCCGAAAAACACCAAGCCGATAGACAATCTAAGCAGTGGGTTGCTAAGCAGTGGGGTTGAAATTGACATCATCAGGGGCTGGGGATTTAGCTCATTGGCATAAGCACCTGCCTTGCAAGCAGGCAGTCGTGAGTTCGATCCCCGGTACCAATAAAAAAAAAAGGAAAAAAAAAGTAGGAAAGAATGAAATTGACATCATCCTTCCAAGCATATAAATAAATATGCTACCCTGGTTGAGCAGTTCTTTCCTCCCCTTAGAAGGGTAAGAGCTCCACCTGACCCCAGCTTTCTCTCTTCTTTATTTTCTCATCCTCTTGCCTTCCTTCACCCCAAGTACCTCAAGGCCTGCATGGGTCTGTGGCATGTAACCTCACATCCCATGTAGGCTCCTGAGTTTAGACCTCCTGTCCTGCAGTACTTCTGGACTGGAGAGACTTTTCTCTCTTTGTATTTATCTACTATCATGGTGTATTTATCACTAAGTACGTGTGGCATAGCGAACCTACTCACCCAGCTTGATGGCAAGGCTTGCTAATGACGCTGTTGGCTTTCCTGTTCCAGCGCCTTAGCAAAGGAGCAGATGCTGAGGAAGCAGGCCGAGTTAGAGTCCGCACAGTGCCGGCTCCAGCTTCAGGTCCTCAGTGATGAATGCAATAGACTTCGCACTCATGTCCAGGTGAGCATGCCCTTCACTGCACAGGACTGGAGTCACAGTCAGGAGCAGAGCTGGCATGTAGCTCAGTGCTAGTGTGTGCTTCGTATGCATAAGGCTCCAGGTTCAGTCTCCAAAATAAATCCCCCACCCCCCCAAGAAGAAATTAAGAAGTATTAAGCTCATCTCAAATACGAACCAGATCTGCCACTATTTAGGTAGTATGTATGACCAATTTTCTTTCTGAGTACAGTTTTCCAAAACACTTCAGGATGAATTTTACTGTAATCAGAACTTTTTTTTTTTTTTTTTTTTTGTCTTTTTGTGTTTTGTTTTGAGACAATCTTGCTGTATATTTCAGATTGACCTTGAATTCACTGTGTAGTCCAAGCTGGCTTCAAATTTGCAGTAATCCTCTTGCTTCAGCCTCCCAAGTGCTGGGATTACAGGCATGTGCCACCATATCCACTGCAGTCAAAAAAAATTTTTTTATAAGAAATTAAGTTAGGGGCTGGGGATTTAGCTCAGCGACATAAGCGCCTGCCTTGCAAGCAGGCAGTCATGAGTTCGATCCCCGGTACAGATAAAAAGGAAAAAGACAAAAAAAAAAAAAAAAAAAGAGAGAGAGAGAAATTAAGTTAAGTGTGGTGACACATGCTTGTAATGCAAGTACTGTGGAATGTTGAAGCAGGAAGACAGCAAGTTCAAGCCCAGTGTGAGGACTTAACAACTTAGTGAGGCATTGTCTCTCAAAAGGGCTGGGGAGCCAGGGAGTAGCATGTGTCTCTAATCCCAGCACTGCAGAGGCTGAAGCAGGAGGGTTGCTGAGAGTTTGGGGCCAGTTTGGGCTACATAGTGAGTTCAAGGGTAGCCTGGACTTGAGACTCTTGTCTCTTGAAAAGAGAGAGAGAAGGAGGAAGAAAGGAAGAAGTTCAGTTCTCTTAAGATTCATCATATTTTCACATAACAGATAAGAAATTTTGAATCAGGGCCAGGGGTTTAGTTTAGCAGCACAAGTGCCTGCCTGGCAAGCCCAAGGTAATGAATTCAATCCCCAGTACCAAAGAGAAAGAAATTTTGAATCAGATCAAGATAATGTTCTTAAGGGGAGTGTCAATGAAAAAGCCTTATGTTTATAAAACTACTTTCATTTAGGACTTGCAAAAACTTACACAAGAACGGGATCAGGTTTCCAGGCAATGCAGAGGCTCTGGAGCTCCTCTTCTAAACGGCCTGCCTGCCAGCCAGAGCCAGCATAAGTACCATTTGCACAAGGCCCTGCCCATATCTCATACAGGAAACTGCCGCACCATGGCGCACTGTGGCGCCCTGAGCTGCCTGGTGGTCTCACAGCCTTCTCCTCAGGCCACCTTCCTCCCAGGTAAACGGTGCTGTACCTTCATTTACGTGTTCCTTAGACTCTGGTTATTTCTCTTCTCTCCCTCTTTGAAGAACCCAGAACTCAGTCATGGATGAACACTGACCACAGGCTACCACCCCCTCTTCCTATCTGTCCACTGTGGGTGCCAGTGCCTCAAGTGCTGCTGAGATGTCATTAGTGTCTGTTGCCTCACTCTGAAAGTGTTCACCATGAGGGTAGCGATGCTGATCGAGGTAGTGGTGTGAGTCATTGCTGTACTGCAAAGGCAAGGACATCTCACAGATTGGGAATTCTTTACTCCAAGGGTTAATTCAAATTGAAACAACATTTAATATTTATTTCCAGTAGTGTTGAAATCGATATACCCCAAGTAAAAATTTGTAAACTACATTATTTTATTATTAATATATATGCTGATTTCTCTCTCTCTCTCTCTCTTTTTTTTTTTTTTTTGGTAACAAAAATCGAACACTTGCCAGGCAGGTATTTGTGCCACTGAGCTAGACCCCTGGCCCTTTTCTCTCATCTTTTATTGAAAGCAATTGCAGGTTGCCTTAATGTTGAAAACCAAATGTCCGTAGCCAGACATTTGGCACACACCTGTAATCCCAGCTCTCAGGAGGCTGAGGCAGAAGGATCAGTGCATTTGAGGCCAGCCTAGGCTACGTAGAAAGACCATGTCTCAAGAAACAAAAAAATCGGCTGGTCCGAAGGTAGTGAGTTATCTCAATTGATTGTTCACAGTCAGTACAGATTGAACTCCTTGTTCTACTCTTTCCCCGCTTCTCACTACTGCACTTGACTAGTCTTAAAAAAAAAAAAAAAGAAACAAAAAAATCAAATATGCTCACATGCCAAATTAAATTGTTCCTATATATCAGAGTTGTTTCTTTCTACTGTATATAGTGTATGATTTCCGCTCTCTTTGATGTTCCTTCAGCTTTGTTTCCTGTTTCCCCACTTAGAAGTTTTAGTACTTTGAAACTGTGCCCCCCAAACTTAGGTATATATAAGTTTGGAGGGGTGAAATGCCTAGATGATCACGTTTCTCTCTGTTTGTAAGGTGAGAGGCCATGAGGAGCCTCCTGTTGCACTAAACTTTATCCTTGTCCATCTATAAAAGCTGATGTGTGTTTTGCTGTCTGAACCTAAGGTTTAAGTAACTCAGATACTTACTAAAAATAAATATTAATACAGCCTCGAAAGAGAATATATACATTTAGATAGTGGTAACAAATACATTTATGGGCATGATTGCACACATCTGTAATCCCAGCATTCTTGGAAGATTTAAGATTTGAGCCCAGCCAGGGTAGTTTGGTAACTTGACAAGACCTGTCTTTTAAAAAATAATAAAGGGTCAAGGCTTTAGCTCAGTGGCATAAGCACTGCCTGGCAAGCACAAGGTTGCAAGTTAAAACTCCCAGTACTGGGGCTGGGGATTTAGCTCAGCAGCATAAGCCCCTGCCTTGCAAGCAGGCAGTCGTGAGTTCGATCCCTGGTACCAATAAAAAGGAAAAAGACAAAACAAACAAACAAAAAAAACTCCAGTACCAAAAAACAAAACAGTCAGCCAATACAAATGCTTGGCTGTGGAGAAAAAGGAGCCTGTTTTCCTTCACTGTTGGAAGTGTAGACTGGTGGAAATCTGTGGAGATTCCTCAAAAGACTAGGACTAGAGATTCCATTTGATCCAGCTATTCCCCTTGGTATCTTCCCAAAAGAATTAAAAGCATCATATGTACACCCATGTTTACAGCAGTACAGTTTGCAACAGCTAGATTTTGGGATCAGCCCAAGAGTACATCAAGTGGTGAATGGGTAAAGATGTGGATGAGTACATATTACACCTGCCATAAAGAAGGATAAGCTTGAGACATAGACCATACTCTTACATGAAATAAATTGGACACGTGTAAATACCACATTGTTAGGACCAAAATGTATAATAGATATTGGGAAATAGGGAGAAAATGTTCAGATGAGAAGGGAAGCAAGGGAGGAGAGAAGGGGAAAGGAAAGAGAGGACAAGGAAAAAAGAATTAGAAGGAGAAACTTGAAACAGCTTTTGAAAATGAGGGGAAGAGGGTTAAGGGGGGTGGAGAATGGAAAAAAATATGTATGGGTACAAATTCCCTATGAATGTTACCATTATCTAAAATGTACCAATAAATAAATGAAAAAAAAAAAAAGCTTAAGACTGAATTCAGTTCCCAGTAAAGAAAAAAGAAAAGGAAAAGGAAAAGGTAAACATCTGTCAAAGTAGGGGGCTGGGACATAGCTCAGTGGAAGAGTGCTTACCTAACATTCATGAGGCCCTGTGTGCAATCCCCAGTGCCAGTAAATAGTAAATTTGGGCCAGGGATTTAGCTCAGTGACATAAGCGACTGCCTTGCAAGCGCATTGTCGTGAGTTCAGTCCCCAATACAAAAAAAAAAATTACATCTTTTAATAAATAGTAAATTTTTGCTGAGTGTGGTGATCCCAGCACTTCGAATGAGGCAGAAGGATCACTGCAAGTTCAAGGCCAGCCTGGGCTACACAGTGTTGACTTTAAAGCTTCCTTATAGCTTGTTATAATTCTTCTCTACTTTCTAGCCTTCCTTCATCCCCGGTAACCATTGATCTACTTTTTTTGTCTTTTTGAGACAGAGTCTCTCTGTGCCGTTTAGGCTGGCCATGGGCTTACTTTGAGACCACCCAGGCTGGTCTCAAACTTGCAGTGACCCTCAGCCTCCTGGTGCTGGAATTACAGGAGTGCGCTACCACACCTAGCTCCATTGATCTACTTTTTGTCACCAAAGATTAGTTTGCATATTCTAGAATTTTATATGAGTGGAAGCATATAGTATTTACGCTTTTTGTCATCTATATTTCCGTGTAAATCAATAGGTCATTCCTATTTATTGCTAGGTATTATTCCATTGGACATATATACAATAGATTTGTTCATTCATCTGTTTTTTTTTTGGTTTTTTTTGTTTTTTTTTTGGTCTTTTTTGAGACCAGGTCTCACTCTGCAGTTCAGGCTGGCCTTGAGCACTTTGTAGCCCAGGCTGGTCTCGAACTCCCAACGATCCTCCCACCTCAGTCTGCCAAGTGCTAGGATTACAGGTGTGAGCCACCACGCCTGGCTTCATCATCTCTTGATGGGGGCTGGGGATTTAGCTCAGCGGCATAAGCGCCTGCCTTGCAAGCAGGCAGTCATGAGTTCAATTCCCGGTACCGATAAAAAGGAAAAAGACCAAAAAAAAAAAAAAAAAATCATCATCTCTTGATGAACATTTAGAATGCATTGTACTTTTTTAAAATAAATTACCACATAGGTGATGAGCTTTTATTGATTTTCCTTATTGAGCAGCTGTTTTCCAAGAACTTAAATGCCAAGAAAAGTGAAGGAGCAAGGTTGTTTGCTTTCGGATTAAACTGAGTCCACTCTGCTCTCCTCTGCAGGCTTTGGTGTGAAGATGCTAAGCACCGCCAACATGAAGAGCAGTCAGTACATTCCAATGCACAGCAAACAGATCCGTGGCCTGGCCTTCAGCACTCAGTCCAAAAACTTGCTGCTCTCAGCCTCCCTTGACTGCACTGTTAAACTGACCAGGTGGGTGAGGCAGGAGAGCCACAGCACTGGGCCAGTGTCGGTGTTAAACGCATTCCTGCTGGGTGTGGTAATCATGACTACTCAGGAGGCTGAGAGAAAGGTCACAAATTGAACCTTGGGTAATTTAGTAAGAACCTGTCTCACAATTCCGCGCATCTGTAATCACATTGCTGGGTAGACTGAGGCAGAAGGATATGAGATCAAGTCCTACTTGGACAACTTAGTATAACCCTATTTCCTAAACATTTTTAAATGGCTGGAGGTGCAGCTCAGTGAAAGAACAGCCTGGATTCCAGCCTTAGTACACAGAAAATCGTCCAGGAGGTTGAAGTTTGTGATGCAGCTCAGTGGTGGAGGGCCTAGAATGTCTGGGGTTTACTCTTCAGTATCCCCCCAAAAAATATTCCAAATAAAAGTAGAGGTTACTCAATACTACTGTGTCGAGTAGGTGTAAATACATCTTAGAGCTCTGAATGCAAGGAATGCCCTAGAAATGGTGAGACGACAGTAGGTAGGGTCCTTGGGACCCATACCATAGAGTGTCCATACCAACCTAATCCTGTTTACCTGGTTAATTGTAAGAGCATGCTCACTAGGCATTCGCCATCTTCTGCGCCATGATTTCTTTCATGTTCTCAATTAATGGCATTTTGTCTTTTGCATACTCTGGGTACCATGAAGCAAGTCTGAGGGGGCTGCTTGCTTTTGTCATGTAGAAAATGCTTCTCACTCACCTGTAATCCCAGCACTTGGGAGGCTGAGGCAGGAGGATCCCAGTGAATTCAAGGTCAGCCTGGGCTACTCCGTCTCAAAAAAAAATTTTTTTTTTGGCCTTCCTATTTAATTTCTCATGCCAAATACAAGGGGTATTCTGGAGGTGTATTAAGCCTAATATAGCCTTTTGGACTTTTTTCTGAGGCAGAGTTTCAGTATTTTGAACTCACTATATATTCAAGGCTGGCCTCATAGTGACCCTCCTGCCTCAGAGTGCTGAGTTTACAAGTGTATACCACTATGCCTGGCTGTCCTTTTGACTTTGTTTGTGACAAGATCTCACTATGTATTCCTGACTTCCCTGGAAAACTCAGTGGTCCTCCTGCCTCAGTCTCCTGAGTGCTGGATTACAAGTGTGCACTAGCACAGATGGCTCCTTTGGCTTTGTAGGAGTGTTTCAGGGCTGAGGTTGTAACTCAGTGGGAGAGCGCTTGCATGCTTGTTGTTTTTGTTTTGTTTTGTTTTGTTTTGTTTTTTGTCTTTTTCCTTTTTATCGGTACCAGGGATCGAACTCACGACTGCCTGCTTGCAAGGCAGATGCTTATGCTGCTGAGCTAAATCCCCAGCCTCTTGTTTGCCTTTTTGAGGCAGGGTCTTGCTGTATATCTCAGAGTTCCCTTGAACCTGTTTTGTAGCCAAACTGGCCTTAAACTTGTAGCGAGCCTCCTGCCTCACCTTGCTAAGTGCTGTGATTACAGGCATGTGCCAGCATGCTGACCTTAAGAGTATTTTCTAATTTTCCTACATCACTTACTGGTTACTTGTGTACTGGGTAACTGTGGAGAAGGTAATAGGAGGAGTGTGGGCAGTGTGCTGTTTATGTGTTCTTTTAGCTCATTCTCTAACTACTGCATAGCCAAAGAGGAAAGCCAGTGGTCCCAAAACACAGAAGTTTTGAACTTTAAAGGGATTAACTGAAAATTGGTAATCCAGGATGCTTTAGGTTTGTGAATGCGTTCTCAGTAAACATTAATGTATTTAAATGATAATTGACACCTCTTTGTCATATGTTCCATTCTGTAACTCTGCAGCCTGGAGACAAATACTGTGGTCCAGACCTACAATACTGGACGACCTGTGTGGAGCTGTTGCTGGTGTCTGGATGAGAACAACTACATCTATGCTGGACTGGCCAACGGGTCGATTTTGGTCTATGACCTTCGAAACACAAGCTGTCACGTGCAAGACCTCACCCCTCAAAAAGCCCGGTAGGCAGCTGCTCACTTCTCTGCTGGAAGTAGTGGCCTTCTCTCAGATTGTTCTTGTGGGTTTCCAGTTGGCCAGTAGTCCCCACAGAGGGCTGTTCACCAAGCTCAACAGAATCAGGAAGATCTTTAGAAATTACGTTCATGATAGCTCACATGGTAGGAAGCTCTTATACCAGGGAATACCTGTTTTTGCCTACTTTGGTGGCACACGCCAATAATCCCATCACTGGGGAAGCTGAGGCAGGAGGATCACAGCAAGTTCAAGATCAGCCTGGGTTACAAAGTGAGCTCAAGGTCAGCCTGAACTGCGTAGTGACACCCCGTCTCAAAAAAAAACCAAAAACTTTTTTAAAGTTTGAGTTTTATTAGATGTAGGGGAATACTGACCCCAAATGTTTAACATCTTCTGTAAAAGTAACAATGTGGGCTTCTGGCACAGTGCAAGAATCAGGTTTGGAATGTGACTTGGGATTTCCTTTTCTCTTCAGATGTCCCCTGGTATCCCTGTCATACATTCCCAGAGCTGCCTCGGCTGCATTTCCATATGGTGGAGTGCTGGCTGGAACTCTGGAGCATGCTTCCTTCTGGGAGCTGAAAATGGGCTTTTCACACCAGCCACATACACTGCCCTTGGAGCCCGGGGGCTACGTAGACTTCCAGACAGAGAGCAGCACCCAGCACTGTCTGGTGACCTACAGACCCGGTAAGTGTGGGCAACCTTGAGGTCTCCGGGGATAGTGGGAAGTAGATGGGTGCAGGGGAGGGAGAGCTCAGCCTTCCCTTTGGGTGGCTGCAGTAACCAACCGTGGCAGCTCCTGGCACTCCGAGGAGGGTGGGGGCTGCTGCCTCTTCCTTGGTGAGCAGCACCTCCCAGGTGCTGCTTAGCATATGTGGGCTCTCTCCGTCTTCAGCAGTGCGGTGAGAGGCCTACTCTTGAGGCCAGCAGCCACCTTCGGATCAGTTTCACTCTTCTGCCTGCCATGCACTTCATGCAGGAGAGAGGCCCAGTGTTCCCAGGGACTGGCCCCTTTACACACGCAGGTGCTTTCTAGCATACCTTCCTGATGGGCACACAGACGGCAGGGGATCGCCCTCCTTTCTTCCTTCCTTTTTTCCTTCCTTCCTTCCTTCCTTCCTTCCTTTGGTCTTGAGGTCTCAGGAGAGTGGCTGTAACCCATAGCCCTGCTCTGCCAGGGCTCAGGCTCTGAGCAGTTACTGTTGGTTGGTTACCTGTGGTTTCATACGAACCTCCTTTACCCTGGAAGATGGCTTTAATGCCCCTCGTCTGACCTGTGGCCAGGCATCCCTCTCACAGGAAACTGAGGGGCGTCTCAGGAAGGCCCTTCCCATCTTACAGACTGGGCCCAGGGCCCCTCTTTTGTTCTCTTAGCTTTTGTTTGCCTCCCAGTAGAATTTCAGGTGAGATCCTTCTCCTGGAATAGCAGGCTGTTATTCTCTAAAAGTGCTCAGGGGTCCTGCCTGGGGGAAGGAAAAGAAACCTGGGAACCTTGGAGAGAGGAATTCTCCAGGAGAGGTCTGGCAGGATACAGTGAGTTTCCTGAAATGGGTGGTAATGTTCAGAATTGTTTCTTTTAGAGGCCAAAGCCCATCTGCCTTCATTCTGTCCGAGGTTTCTAAATCTCACTTGTGTTGTTACTGTTCGCTTCATAAGCTGGTATACTCACACACTGCCACCCAACCATGCCGTATGTGTCTGGGGCTCTGGTGCTTGCTCTCTTGCTGCCATCGCCACAGGCCAGCACTGGCTTCTCTGTCCCACAGATAAGAGCCACCCCACCATGCGAAGTGTGCTGATGGAGCTGTCCTACAAGCTGGACAACACTGGAGAGCCAGTCTACTCCTGCCAGCCTGTGCAGACATTCTTTGGGGGACCCACTTGCAAACTGTTGACCAAAAGTGCCCTTTTCCAGAGCCCAGAGAATGGCAGCCTCCTGGTCTGTACTGGCGATGAAGCATCAAATTGTGCCATGGTAAGCACCTGTTTTGTTTTTGGTTTTTGTTTATTTTGTTTTTCAAGACAAGGCCACTGGCCTTATCTGGCCATTGGAGCCTAGACTGGCCTTGAACATGCAGTGATTGCCCTGCCTCAGTCTCCTGAGTGCTGGGATTACAAGCATGGGCCATCACATCTGGCTTAAGTGTCCTTTTTTTTTTTTTTTTTTTAAGAGTAGGAACATTTACTGGGGAATAGGAATAGCTCCTGAGAGACAGGAGTGGTCCAGAATGGGTTGCCTCAAATGTCTTTTTTTGGTTTTTTGTGGGGTTTTTTTGTCTTTTTCCTTTTTATCGGTACCGGGGATCGAACTCACGACCGCCTGCTTGCACAGCAGGCACTTATGCCGCTGAGCTAAATCCCCAACCCCTCAAATGTCTTTTTAAGAGATCTATACTTAAATATATAAGGGTTAACAATATGAAGTTAACAAACAAAACAGGATTCATAAGCCAGCTATGGGTAAAGGCTTACTAATTTTGAATTGGGGGGTCATTGTACCATTTTCTCTGCCTTTTAGTCCATTTTGAGACAGGGTCTGACTATGTAATCCATGCTGACCTCAAACTCACTGTGTCTCCAGGCTGTCCTATAAGTGGGAGCCTCCCGCTTCAGCCTCCTGGATACTAAGATTACTGGCATATGTCACCATAAAATTTTTTTTATAATGAGGTTTTGTTTTTGATTTTTAGATTTTTTTTTAAAAAGGAAAATAAAGCACCACTTAGAATGTAGTTTTAGTTTCCATGAGGACTGGTACAAGGATTTTTTTAGGGCCAAGGATTTAGCTCAGTAGCATAAGTGCCTGCCTGGCAAGTGCTAGGTCGTGAGTTCAATCCTCAGTACCAAAAAAACCAGTAAACACCAGCTTTATATTCCCTGATGGGGGCACCATTTCTGGAGCTGCTAGCTTTAAATTCATAGTGATCTTCCTGCCTTAGCCTCTTACAATACCAGATTGATGTGTGCAGTGGATAAAGCAAGTTCCTATTCCATCTCCCACTTTGGAAATCTATTTAACAGATACTTGGGAGCTGAGGCAAAAGGATCACCATGAGTTTGAGGCCAGACTGGGCTACATGGCAAGACCTTGTCTCAAAAAATCCAAAAAGAAACCAACAAAAGTTTTTTTGATATGTCATTCTTGAATGGAGGACCTAACAGAGAAGGAAAAATACTAGCTCTCAACCAAAGGCTGAGAGATGATAGGGACAGTTTTGCTTTACTGACGCTGTGTCCCTAGAAGGGCCAGTGCCGGAAGATTGCCTGGCATGTAGACAGAAGCCATGAGCCTGTTCACAAGCAGACTGATTGTTGATTGCATTGGGCAAGGCCAGCCGGGTGTGTATGAGCTGTGTGGGCCTTGTCCAGCCCTGTAAAGGTGAGGGTCCATCTTGTAGACAGTTGTCTTCCTTTCTCAGTTGTTTGATGACAAAGCAAGCAAGTCCCCTGGCCAGCCAGCCTGCCTGCTGACCCTTCTTTTCTTCCACTTGTTTTCTTTAGCTGTGGAATGCCAGCAGTGGCAGGTTACTTCAGGACCTGCAGAACGATCAGCCTGTCTTGGACATCTGCCCGTTTGATATGAACCATAACAGCTACCTGGCCACCTTAACAGAGAAGACTGTCCACATCTATAAGTGGAAGTGACTTTCAGGCGTGCCGCTGGTTGGCCTTAAGAGTTGTTTGCTAGCACCAGGCAGGACTGCGCAAGATCCCTACTTGGTGTCTGCAGACAAGAACTTGTGGTCCCTTTGGGTCTGGATGGTTGTGAGACAGGTGCATCTGCTGTATCTGTTGTGAGGACAGTGACTCTTCTGTCTGTGTGATTGCTTTCTCGTGTTAAAAGCCTTTGTAAATCTTTGCTGGAAATCTTTGTTTTCTGTCTGTTTTCTGCTGAACCCAGCGGAGTCCTCTCGGCAGTCGTTTAGAGTTTTTGAGTGTAAACCCAGTATCCTTTGGGTGGTCTAACACCCACCACCTTTGTGAGCACCTTGTGGGGCTAATTGCTACATCCAAAGGGACCAGCCTTCTTGGCTGGATGCTCTGCTGACTCAGAAGCGCCTGTCTTCTGCTGAACACTGGAGGGCACTGGAGAACCTTGTGCAGGGTGTGATCTGTTTCTGAGCTCTGAGGCTTATAACCTGTAGTGGCTGCCTCTTGTCTGCAGAAGTATGTGGTGCTATTCCAGCACCATTGGCAGCTAATGCTGTACGCACTAAGACTCACTGCATTGTGGGAGCTAAGGAAAGCGACCAGCAGTTTGAATGATGGTGAGGGTTTTGGGTTTTTTTGTTTGTTTTTTTTTTTTTTGTCTAGCTTGCCCAGGATCTCAGGATTGGTTTTTATCTAAGTTAGTGCTTTAAAAAAGACTGCTTTTTTCCCCGATGCTAGGAAGAGATGAGTAATATGTCAAACCTACTTGGCCAGGGATCTAGGTCAGAGGCATTAGTGCTTGACTGGCAAGTGCAAGATCACTGGCAAGTGCAAGATCGTGAGTTCAATCCCCGGCATCAAAGCTACTTGAGTCTCCCATAATAACAGAAATCAGGAACAAAAACTAAGAAAGCTGAGCTGGATGTGGGCAGCCAGAACTATAGTGAGGCACCATCTTAGAAAAACAGAAAACGGAGGCTGAAGATTTAGCTCAGTGGCGTAAGCACCTGCCTGGCAAGCACAAGGTCACAAAAAAATCATGAGTTCGATCCCTGATACAAAAAAAAGATGTTAAAGAACAGAAGGCCACTGTGGAGATGGGAACAGGCTTTGTCTCTCCCATTTTGGAAAAGTCCCTAACTAGAATGAACCCTCTCTCTGAGGAGCTCTAGTTGAACTGTGTATAACTCCTAGGTAAAGATGTTCCCTGTTTTGAAACCGATGTGTGTTTTCAATTTCTGCCGACTCACCTCTCTAGCGTCTTGTGAGCATTACTGGCTAGGTGGTGGTTCTCAGGAGGACACCTGTGCACACCTGTGTGGACGACAGGGAGGCACTACCAACTCTGCTTCCAGTCCTTGACTGAGACATGAGGCGCTGCGCTTTTGTCAGGCAGATGGAGCGTGCAGGCTGTGTTTGCTGCTTTACTGTGCTGGATGGCCGCCGTCTGCAGCCCCACACTTCCGGTGTGGGCAGATCAATCAGTATTCTTGGAAGCAGCACTGCTAACAGTGTGATATTTTAAATAATATCATCAAAGTTTGAGCCTTTTATGAAACAGTGCTGACTTGTCAACTCCTTAACTGTTTCCAAAGTCGTCTTACCAGCAAGGAATTAAGGTAAAGTTCCCCAGAGCTCCAAGTTCAAGGTCTTTCCATGTTTTCCCTTTTTTGAAGATACATAGTTCAGGCTGGCCTTGAACTTAACTGTGGAGCCCTACCTGGCTTCAACTTTGTGATGATCTTCCTGCCTCAGCCTCCTGAGGGCTGGGATTACAGGCATGCACCACCATGCCTGGCTCCCCTAGCTTCAAGTTCTGGCTATGCCTTTTAATGGAACCTTCTATGTGAGATAACTTTTTTGTTTTGTTATGAAGATATCTCAAAAAGCTACAGCCTGGGAAGAGATCCCTTTTTCAGGAGATACTGTGATCATTATGTTGATGAGGTGTGGCTGCCCTGGCCTGGAGCCTCAGCAGCAGAAAGGGATTTGTATTAAGAAGCAGAATTCTGGCTTCTACAAATTGGCACAGAGGGTTTAGGTGTCAGCCTTTGTTGCCTCTTCTTTGGGCCCGGTCAGTGTTAGGATTTGGCTGCCCTGAAGTACTCAGTGATGCCCATTGACTCCCCTGAGAATAGCCTGGGGACTCCCTCCCAAAAGAGCTGGGTAAGTGTCAAGCCGTCAGGCAGTACATCTGTCCGGGGTGGGGGCTGCCAGTAACTCAGGGCCTCATGCATGCTATGCATGCCCTGTGCCCCTGAGCTCATCCCCTCTCCGACTTATATATTTGGAAGCAAATCTACTCACAGGGACCTCATCACTGCCTCCAGCACTGTCTTCCAGGCGAGGGTTTGCAGCTGAGTAAACTCATTGTGTGTTCTCACACCTGCTTTGAAAACAGGTCAGTAGGATTTCCATTTGTGTTCTGTGTTTGTCTTTTAATGTTAATATGCAAATAAAGAATTTGCCACATTTAGCATCAGCGCCTGCTGCCTCTTGTCTCATCAGCTGCTGGAACTCCTGGGAGAGGGTATGGACCGCTCCATTTCACCCAGTGCCTGGTCTGGGTGACGGCGGGAGGGGGGGGCGGGAGGGGGTGGGGTGTCCCTGCAGCTGAAATAAATGCTTTGTTTAAACTGATGAGCTGAAGCTGTTGAGGCTCTGGCTGGCAGGGCTACCTCAAGAACCCCATCCTGCATGTTTTGAAATTTTTAGTTGTGGTTTTTTTTTTCCCTTTTGCTCCTTGAAATAAAATGAATCTTAGAGAAAAAAAATTACTTTTTAAAGCTACTTTTCTTATAAGGCAAGAACAAGGAGAAAAAAACAAAGAACCCCCGTCCCACTTATGTGGCTATTTACTCGAGGAACTTGAGGTATCCATTTTCCACACTCCCTTGCCTGCTGGCTTTTTGGTGTTTCTTTGAAACCTAGAGACTGAAATACGCAAGACGGGAGGAAAGGACTTTCTCCTTTGTATTTCTTTTGGTCACTGGGAACTCTTCTGACAGTAAGATTCTGAAAACAAAAAGTAACTTCTGTTTATCTGGAACAATCTCTACTATTTTGCCTTTTTTTTTGGTTTTTTTTTTTTTTTTTTTTTCATTTTTATCAGTACCAGGGATTGAACTCACCACTGCCTGCTTGCAAGGCAGGTGCTTATGCCGCTGAGCTAAATCCCCAGACCCTGGCCTTTTATAATGTTTACAAAGCTCTTTGATGATAAGTTAAATACTTACAGAAAAGGTTCAGCCTGAATGTGTTTGGCACATTGTAGAACCAGCGCTCTGGGAGGCTGAGGCAGGAAGATAAGTTCAAGTCCAGTCCAATGTAGTGAGACCCTAACTCCCTAACTTAAAAGGACGAGGGATGTCGCTCAGTGTGAAGGCTCTGCACTCCCCAGTACCACCAAAAGAAGGAAAGATGTTCCAGCACTTGAGAACAGGCGAGGAGTAAGGGCCTAATGAAACAGGGTGAAAGGACAGAAGAGAGGTAGAGCTGTAGAATCTCAGCCAGTGTGATCTGGTGCCAAGCGTACCTCCGAGGAAGTGTACAATTCCTCTTCCTCATGAAGATGAGTCCTGATGAGTTAGTGGCAGTCACCTCATTAGCACAGGCTCCCTCCTGCTGGCTCATTATTAGACAATGACATTTGTTTCTCTGGCTAGGCCCTCCCCCAAAACATGCAATTTAGAGGCATGAGGGGTGTGTAGGCTCTGGACTCCAGTCTTGGTTCTGCTGCTTATGGATAAGGACACTGCGTGACATCTCTCTCTCTGGGCCTTAAATTCTTAGTCTGGGTCCTAGTCACTGAGATCTCTGTGACAGTTCAGGTTCTTTATCTGGATAATTTGAAGTTGTCAAGAAGGTTGTTTCAAGTTTGTTCCCCTTGGGGCTGGGGATTTAGCTCAGCGGCATAAGCATCTGCCTTGCAAGCAGGCAGTCCTGAGTTCGATCCCTGGTACCGATAAAAACAAAAACAAAAAAAAAATTAAAAGTTTGTACCCCTAAGTTTTTTTTTTTTTTTCCTCCCCTCTCCTGGTCCTGGGGGTTGAATCCACGGCTTTCTCACTCAGCTACATCAAGTACATTTTGGGACCAGAGGTTTAGCTCCGTGGTATAAACTTCTACCTGGCAAGTACAGGGTCGTGAGTTCAGTCCTTAAAAAAACATTTTGCAGGGGCTGGGGCTTTAGCTCAGCGGCATAAGTGCCTGCTTTGCAAGCAGGCAGTTGTGAGTTCGGTCCCCGGTACCGATAAAAAGGAAAAAGACAAAAAAAAAAAAAAAAAAAAAAACATTTTGCAAGGTCACAGAGTAAAAGTCCCTACTAAACTACAAGTGATGGCTCCAACCAGGCACTGTGTACTCCTGGTACCCAGAGATCAGTAGATGAGCAGAAGCCCTATCTGTGGGCCCATGCTGTTGGTCCTATCAACCAGTCCTGATTACAAGTGACAATGGGACTGCTGTTGCATGGAGGAAGCAGGGGGGCATCTAACACGATTGCCTGGCTATTTCCCCTGCTCCCTGCCCCTCTTGAGTGAAGTCAGAAATCGTAAGAGGTCCCAGGTGCATTCCTGTAATCCCACACTTGGGAGGCTGAGGTAGGAGGATTGTCATGACTTCAAAGCCAGCCTGAACTACTAGCAAGACCTAGTTTCAAAAAAATCGAAAAATAAAAAGAAAAAAAATAAGCGAGATATGGTGGTGCACACCTATAACTCCAGTACTTGGGAGGCTGAGTCAGGAGGATTGCTGCGAATTCAAAATCAGCCTGAGCTAAAAAGTAAGTTCAAGGCCAGCCGAAACTACGTGAGACCCTGTCTCAAAAGGACAAATAATAGTAATAATAAAAATAACTTAAAACCTACTGAATAGATGAACATGAAAATGAGCCATTGGCCAGGGACTTAGCTCAGCAGCATAAGCGCCTGCCTGGCAAGCGCAAGGTCATGAGTTTGATCCTCAGCACACACAAAAAAGATCTGTTAACCCAGAATTAATTTTCCCAGGGAAATTCAGAAATGTCAAGCCTTATGGAAGGGTCATAAAACTAAGGAAAAATACTGAGATACTTGGGTAAAAGTATGATGTGGTGGTGTACACCTTGTAATCCCAGCACTCAGGAAGCTGAGGCAGGAGAATCATTGCAAGTTTGAGACAAGCCTGGGCTACAAAGTGAGCTCACGCGAGTCTGAACTGCATAGTGAGACCCTGTCTCAAAAAGAAAAAAAAAAAAAAAAGCTCTCTTCGATCTGGAAGACTTGGACAGGGCAAGGTCAAGGTGCCTGAGCACAGGTAGACCCCCGGTACAGTCACTCAATAGAGCAAAAGTTGCCAAGAAGAGGTAATTGTTAGAAACCCATATTCCTGGATATTACAGTGAGAATTTTTTTCTTTTGTAGCATTAGGAAGTTAACCCAGGCCTTGTATATGCTAGGCAAGCACTCTACCTCTGAGCTGTACATCCCCTGCTCTGATCAGACATTTTGCTTGCTTATTTTATTTTATTTTGAAAGTGGTAAAATACAACAGAACAAGACAGAATAAAGCCAACTAAGGTCGTACAGTGAAATTGGTACAGAACTTCACAGCAGGGGTGGGGGATTTAGCTCAGTGGTCTAAGCGGCTGCCAGGCAAACAAAAGGTTGGGGATTCAATTCCCCGGGACCAAAAAAACCCCCAGAACTTCACAGCAGGTTACCAGGATAATAGTAATAGGCATCACAGTATATTTCCTTATCTTTATAATAGTTGTTCTTTCAATCACATATATCAAAATGAGATGAAATACAGAACATATTAGAACTTATCAAAACAGAATATTGAATAGAACAGTACCATTAATCAGAATAGAGCAAAACAGTAATAAAAATATTTGCCTTCAAAGAGATGGTAGAAGGAAGTCCCCCTTATTTGCTATGGTCAACCTCTCAGGAGATGCTCAGATTTCTGGTTCCCATTTGGTAAGGCGGGGGGACGACACGACACCCACAGAAGAAAGAGGGTAAGGGAAGTGGGATGTTTGACTCTAGGCAGTGCATCAGTGGGTTCACTATTGCTTAGCAGGGAGGCCAGCTGGTTGTTTGGTTTCCCAGCGTCCTAAGTTCCAACATGGCGCGGATCTCCAGGAGCTGCTGGTGGTTCTTGCTTGCCTGTTTTGAATAAGAGTCTTGGTGTGTAGTTCAGGCTGGCCTTGAGCTCAGCTGTCCTCCTTTGTTAACCTTCCCCGTGCTGGGATTACAAGTGTGTGCCTCCACATCCAGCCCTGATCAAACATTTTTTAAAATGTCCAGATAATTCATTCAGCTATACAGTCAAATTTGGGAAAACTAGGGTCAGGGATATAGCTCAGCGGCATAAATGACTGCCTGGCAAGCACAAAGGTCTGAGTTCAATTCCTGGTTACCAAAAACATTTGGGGAGGGCTAGGGATTTAGCTCAGTGGCTCAAGAGTTTGCCTGGTAAATTCAATCCCGGTACCAAAAAAACAAAAAAACCCAAACAAACAAAAACTAATTTGGGAAAACTAGTAGGGCATGGTAAAACATTACTCTATGAGGCTGAGGTAAGAGGGTTACAAACTCAATCCCACCATGGGCAAGTTAGTACTTTATAGAGAGACCCTGTGTCAAAATTGAAAAGCAAAAGTGGTAACTGGCCTGGAAATGTAGCTCAGTGCAAAGGCTTTGAGTTCAATGGCCAGTACCTGTAAAAAAAAAAAACAACCCTCAGTCTTGGCTGGGTGTGGTCACGCACACCTGTAATCACAGCACTTCAAAGACTGAGGCAGGAGGATCCCCACAAGTTTGAGGCCAGCCTGGACTACATAGCGACACCCTATCTCAAGAACAAAAAAACACAGAAATACTCAGTCTCCCTGTCTTCTTGAGGAGGAGGGCATTGGAGGCTCTCTTTGGCCCCTTGGGGCAGGTTTAAGCTTCTCCAGGCGTGCTGTATTGTCCCCTTTCTTCCAGGTCAAAGTCCTCATTTCTAGTTGGTGCCTCCCTCCTGGACTGTGGCCTTTGCTTCAAGGGCCCGCCCTGCTGGGCCTCAGCTAGAGGCCTGGAGCCTGCACCCCAGCAGGGATTCAATCCCATGTCTGTTTCCCCAGCATTGTGTCTTTGCTGCTCTCTCTGCAGCATTTCTTTCTGGGTTTGGAGTCTCTCCCATTGAATGCAGTTTGTAAGTCAGCTGGTGACAAGGAAGATTTATTCACAGATTTTAGATCTTTTTCTGTGGTTTCCTTCTCTCCAGTATTTTGGCCCTCAAGTCTCAGACACTTTGGGGCTCTAAATGCCTGCTTGTCTATTTCTAGTACAGTAAGATTATTATTTCCAGCTGGATGTGGTGGCAAATGCCTGAAATCTCAGCTACTCTGGAGGCTGAGGCAGGAGGATTGTGAGACCAGCCTGGGCAATTTAACAAGGTCCTGTCTCAAAAAGTAAAATTAATAGGGATGGAAGTGTAGTTCAGTGC